TGTAGCTGTGTAATTTTATTCGTGGGTGTGAAGTACGGCCGAGACCCATATCTACACAGTTCAAAAGTTATACATACCTAATTTATGTCATAATTATGTCAGTTACAAAAACACTTAGTTTGAATTTTGTCACCCTCGGCAACACTATGAACCAGTATAGCTGATTTTAGTCCAAATCTCGGCCATACTTCATACTTGTTTGAACCACATTTTCTCGTAAATGTTAAAAAATTATTAAAAAGTAAACTATTCTGAATTTTGTCGCTGTTTTGTCAAGTGTTTTAAGATAAAAAGTTTGCTTTTTGGTTTCCACAGTGAAGAGTATGAACAAAATTCAGATGGGGTAGTCGAAATTTTAGATTTTGATTTTTTTTAAGCTATGCATTATAAAAAATAATATTAGTATGTGATTTATGTCAGAATTATGTCAATTCAAATAATACACCCAAAAAAATTTTTTTGACCAAAGTACACCATAGAAAATCAATTTTCAATTTTGGACTAGGGGCGACCCTAGTCAAAATCAATTTTGTCACTTTTTTCTTCGAGGGTTTATCCAAATGGATTGAAACTTTGCAAAAATATTCTGGTGCTTAAAACAAATACAAATAAAACATCTTAAAATTTTTTTGACCAAAGAACCAAGTAGGAAATACATTTTCAATTTTGGACTAGGGGCGACCCTAGTCAAAATCAGTTTTGTCACTTTTTTCTTCGAGGGTTTATACAATTACAGTGAAACTTTGAGTGAGTATACCAATATTTATGCTAAACAGTTTTAAATATCTAAAACAAAAATTGTATTCTATAAGTCGTCAAACCAAAATTTAATAAATATGGTTGTTCATTCAAATACAACATAACTTAAAATTTTGTCCATTGTACGAGTAAAGTGATTTTTTTGTATTCAGAAATGTGTTACCTGAGTTTTAAAATGCTCATACAAAGTTTCACTGTATTTGGATTTATCCTCGAAGAAAAAAGTGAAAAACTAGATTTTGACTAGACCTGTCCCAAGTTCATAATTGAAAATGTATTTCCTACTTGGTTCTTTGGTCAAAAAAATTTTAGGATGTTTTATTTGTATTTGTCTTAAGCACTAGGATATTTATGCAAAGTTTTAATCCATTTAGATAAACCCTCGAAAAAAAAAAGTGACAAAATTGATTTTGACTAGGGTCGCCCCTAGACCAAAATTGAAAATTGATTTTCTATGGTGTACTTTGGTCAAAAAAATTTTTTTGGGTGTATTATTTGAATTGACATAATTCTGACATAAATCACATACTAATATTATTTTTTATAATGCATAGCTTAAAAAAAATCAAAATCTAAAATTTCGACTACCCCATCTGAATTTTGTTCATACTCTTCACTGTGGAAACCAAAAAGCAAATTTTTTATCTTAAAACACTTGACAAAACAGCGACAAAATTCAGAATAGTTTACTTTTTAATAATATTTTAACATTTACGAGAAAATGTGGTTCAAACAAGTATGAAGTATGGCCGAGATTTGGACTAAAATCAGCTATACTGGTTCATAGTGTTGCCGAGGGTGACAAAATTCAAACTAAGTGTTTTTGTAACTGACATAATTATGACATAAATTAGGTATGTATAACTTTTGAACTGTGTAGATATGGGTCTCGGCCGTACTTCACACTTACATTTTATTCCATAAGTTTTGCTACTTATTTTATGAATGCCAGAATACTGTACATTTCTAGGATCTGAATTAAATTAAAATTTACAACTACAAATTTTAAGATTCATTAGTCATTAAATAACAAGGCATTGCGATTTATTACCTCACAATTGCAGTAAGAGTTTCACAAAAACAGCTTCTTGTGAGGCATAATTTCCCCAAAAACTACACCATAATGCACTTAACATTACCGAACCATCAACATACAATGAGATAATAAAACAAAATGTACGGGAAACCCCAAAGCCGTAGGTGGATAGTTGCAAATTAGGTCAGAAAAAAGCCACGCTGCATGTTAACAACAATAAAGTTTTTGATTACGGCATTTTATTGCGTCTTAATGCATCAATCCTTGAATCTCCGCATATTGAACTTTTAAAACAAACAAAATTAACAGCCAAATAAAATTTAATGATTAATCTCGTCCCAAACTCGTCTGACGTCAATTTACAGCCTTTTTTTAATTAATTTTTAATGAATAAATCCGACCAGACACAAAAGTGAGAAAACATCATAACAATGAAGCTTGAATGTCACGGCATAAAAGTCTTTTTTTGTTTACATTGATTTTGCACGTTTCGTATCAATATGTAGGAGATATTGGCAGTGCTATATGATGAAAGAAAACAGGAATAAGATTGAGACATTCGTACAATATTAACCATTTGAATATTTTAATGAGAAGCACTTTGTGAGTGTATGCGGAATTGTATTTAAATATTTTAGTATGCCGGTCTCTCATGTCTGCACATTTTTATGCGTCTCAATGACTTTTAATGTCAATAACCTAAGCTGACATAAATTTATAGCTAAATTGTTGTTTACAATTCTTTAGTTTTTTAAGTCACAAATGTCTCGTATGGCTATAAATGGCACGTAAACAAAAAGACATATTAAGAGTGTCATTAAATTTCGTCATAGAGCGGCGCTAAATGTTCAAGTGAAATTGAAAATTGCATAATAAATAAATACACAATCGCATGAATGGCAATGAATGAAGTCATCTTGTACTGTAAACATCGAATTCGAATATATGCTAATGAATATTACTATTATCCGTTTTTGAATGGAAATTGAAGTGATCGTAAAAGTAAGAAGAGTGTCGTTGAGGAGAAATTTTAACGAATCATTGATGATGTTGTGGAAATTCTTACAATTTTTCATCCATTCTTGCTCTTGCAACAGGATTTTGTTCTATAAGAAATGATGGAAAATTGCCAACCTCAATGGCACTTCTTATTTCCTCTTTTTGGAGCTTATTGAATTGAATAAATGGAAACATTCTCTACAATTTGTCTGACTAAAGCTTTTCTTCGGTGTGTTTAGAAGAACTGCTGCATGGCATGGGAAAATTTTCAAGATTGTTGAGAATTTTTCATCCAGATTGTAAAAGCTTAAATCAATTCTCCTTCTTGATGACTGAATTATTCTGAGAATCAGTAAGCCTACAAGCTGCACTTACTTCACGTTTGTCCTTCACAGAATCAACGAAGAAATCACAATGTTTCACAGAAGCATTTTTAAACCTCCCAACTAGTTCAGATGTGAGTTTGCCCTTGATTTCGATGAAGTCACATTGTTGTTCCTGGAAATCCTAAGTTGATATACACTCTCATAATGAATACAAAGACTTGACTTATGGCATGTTATAGGAACATAAATTCAGTTTTTCAACTTCTTCTTCTTCTTGAGTAGTTCTTTAAGAATACAGCACGAAAATAAATCGTGGGCAGGGATTAAAAATTGATCGATTTTGGTTACTCGAGGGCAGAATTTCGAGTAAATTTTTAATCCAAAGATTCTTAAGTAAGTGTCGTGTCCCAAAAAGATTGGACAAAACTGTTCTACTCAAGCAGTAATGTCAGCATTTTAGGCATGTTCTCTAATGTCATATAGATCCAAACATCAATTCCAGACCCCTTCGTTACTTTTCTGCACCCCTGACAATACAAAACTCTTAAATCATGCTTTGTAACTCGCAAACTGCTCTCTGCACAGATCCCCTAAAAACTATCCGAAACTTACTTTATAGATATTAACATCAACATCGAATGAAGCAATTTCTTACAACAATCATTCGATTATTGAATCACGTTAAAGACTTCAATCGCACACAAACTAAAATGTGAGCTACAAATGATGATTTTCTTATTTCGTCTCCTTTATTCCTTTTCCATTTTCATGCTACAAGCAGAATGAGTAAGAATCAAATCGCAACGATACAAGAAAGAAAAATCGGAACTTATTCGAGTGTAAAAAATGGATTGAATGTTAGTAAGTAATATTCTGCATTACATTGGACTTTGTAGAGAACATAGTGAACAAGAAAATCTTGTACATGGATGTTGTTAATGTTCATGTTGTACTCATGTAAAATATGTATTTATATCGCAACATAAACTCCTTTTTGCCATTATTCTTCATATATATCCACTCTTTTCCTCTCCTTGATATTTTGTGTACAATTTTTTTAAATGATTGTAGAAAAAAGTTTGTTGTTAGAAAGTCATTTGAGGGGGATTAGAAAAATGACACGCATTTTTGGGAGTAATTTGGCATGTCTTTCTTAATTGAGTTTTGTGTTGGAACACAGAAATTGTTAAAGATTTGTAATTAGACATTAAGGGGCTTGTTTAATAAAATCATTGGCTACTGTTCGAAAGGAGCAGGATTCGGAACCGGCTTTATCAAAGTAATTCTTAATAATCTGTAAAACATGATTAATAGCTAAGCATCAATAAGACAAAATGCTGTCAATAACATCAATCACATCACGACATGCTAAGGAAGGATTCAAATGGAAAATGAGTGCAAAAGAATATCATAAAATGCACTTAAGGAGGTCAAAGCTTGTGAGCATTCAATTTTACATGATTTCGAGATTATTGATTTGCATGAGAGAATCATTCAGCATTTTTTTTTTTATTTACCCATCAAGATGTACTTAAAATGTAAAAAAATAAATAAAAATAAAATATGTAGCAACAATCGCATAACAACACTTGCATCACGTTCCCAAAACATTATGCTTTTAACAGGCAAATAACAATAAAATGTGTCGCGAAACTACCGAGAAATGATGATTAAAAATTTCTGTCATTATTGAGCATTTACATTCATGAATCATGATAAATGCGTGTAACTTAATGCACAGCATAGGGAAATATCACGAAATATTTTTTTTTTTATTGTGAAGAGTCAATGGAACCAAACAGAAGAAGAGAAAAAAAAAGAGAAATGCAAAAAAAATTGTTAAATTTGTATATAAGATGGAGTGGTATGTCAACCGGCTCAACAGTCTTTTAAAGTTACTCAAGTGAGAAACATCAAAAAGTCATTTGACTCAAAAGTGAGAAAAAAAAGAGATAAAAAAAGAAAAGTTTTGTGAATTAAAAAAAAAGATACAATGGACATGAAAATAAGTTTTGTGACAATCTTTGTGCTGTTCACGTCACTCGTGATGATACAGTGCGGTCCAATTGATATACTTACTCAGCTTACTGACAACGCTGACAGACAACTATTGTTGAGAATTGCAGAATTTTTCAGCAGTGATTATTCAGATGAGAGTTCCGTCTCGAGTGGTGTGAAAACACGTGACATTTCCGAGCAGCAATCACGTTGTCGACTGCCCATGAAGAGAGGTCTCTGTAGAGCATTGATGCCCCGTTGGCACTACGATCCAGTTGAAAAATCCTGCATTGAATTTAAATTTGGAGGGTAATTATTAAAAAATTATTGGAACTGCCTCTAATTATGACTGATTATCATTTTTTTTTATATCCTATTCAGATGTGATGGAAATGCAAATAATTTCCGAACGCGAAAAGAATGCATGAGCGTATGTGAGGGAGTGTGATGCTGACTATAATTCAATGCAAAATAAGCTCCCTGATGACGTACAAAAAATCTAGTGATAGTTTGTGATAGAATAGTCCAATTTATGTTGACTGACCGATTTGAACAAAAGGAATCAGTATTAAACCAAATCATCGCTTAGTCAACACATTCCTCATGACTGTAAATTATGATCAAATAGCAATAAGATTTATTTTTTGATAAGCTCATGAAATCATTTAGCGAGTAGTTTGCCAGCATTTATTGTATTTATGAAAGGCAAAATTTATTCTGTAATTGAAAACACTCAAATGCAATTTAATAAATATCTATACTTTTGTTATTTAAGATAAATACATGAACAGAACTTTGTTGTTAACTGGACAATGAAAGATTTTTTTTCTGTTGCTATTCTTTTTTTGTATTTTTGTGTGGACGTCCATAAAGGAAAATTGGAATGAAATAAAATTATTTTATATTTTTTATCGTTCGTTTAACGCATGAAATGATGTTGAAAATTGGATTTTTCTTTCCTCTGCTCTTCATGTGTTCTCTCACTAAATTCTATGTAGTTTTTTACTCTATTGGCATGACCACATAACATTTAAAAGAGTAGCTACTGAAAGGTATATTGATATCTTGATTACAGTTCAATTGTGGTTTTGTAGATTCGAATCTTATGACATTAAAATAAAAAAATTCAGATCTGAAGATCATTTGAAATTAAATTCTGTGCAAACTGTCTTGACTGTTTGTAAATAGTGTATCGTGATCCATATAACTTATGTTTTAACAGCAAAGTACTGTTGGATGACAAGATGTTGAGGATTTTTGCAAAAAAGTTATATTCGAAGTCAATTAAAGAAACTGATGTCTGCTAAATTAACAAAACAGTTGTAATTATTGAAAATCTGAAAGAATTATTCTCCTTTTAAATTATTAAGTAAAAGCTTCATCAATACTTATGGTACAACAGATCATCGATCGCAGTGCCGTTTTTGCTCTAAGCAAAACCCTACATTACATTCTATTCGTCAATACTTACTATTAGAGCCTTAAAGTTTTGAATCATGAGTTTCAAAGTCACTAATGAAATTGATAATTTGAAAATCAAAAATGTTTTTAGCGAATTTTCGAAACTTGTTTCTAAAAGGTAGCTTAATATCTCACTATGTCTGTTCGTTCGGACGGAGAAAAACTTTTTAACTAGACATCGTAGAGAGTTCTAGTTTGTTTTATTAGCTCATGTCCATTGTTTTATTTTCGGGAAAGGCATTTAAAAGTCTTAAAACAGTATTTTTGTACTATAATTAATGCTTTTTATATTTCATATGAAAAACACGTGATGAGAGCGTTTAGAAATTCGAATTTATTTCTACCGTTAAAATTTTTGAATCTCAAAAAACCGTTGAATTACAAAGCCTTTTTAAATGAAAATTTTTTGCAACAGACTGTTATTTATACTATAATTAATGATTTTACTGCAACTTTTGGCAAGAAAATTTCAAATGCATACGACCGTTACAAAATTTGAACTTCAGAAAACCGTTAAATGATAAACAATTTATTTATGAGAATTAAAGATATTAAATTGTTAAATAAACTATAATTCTACATGGAAATTCATTTCTACAAATTATAATTATACTATAGTTATTGTTTTTGAAGTGCAACTTTTAGCGGGAAAATTTCAAATTATTTATAAACACGAGGACTTCTGTAATTTTTTTTTCGATAAGTTATATTAATAACTCTTCTATTAAAATTAATAGCACAGATATTTGTTCTTTAGAGTTCGTAAACAGACTATTAATTCTATGAAGGGGCTAATAACTATCCAAGGGGAAAAAACAACAAAATATAGTTGCAAATACAATTTAAATATTAAACGACAGTTGATATATTCTCAACAGCAACGCTCAAAACTAGTTCTCAAAATACCAATCTAAATTATATCAATTATCAATTACAAAATCATTCATCCTGTCAAAAAACTCAACCATGAAATTTTACGTGATTCCAGCAATATGTAATACAACTAGTCGCTATCTTACAGTACTGTATGAAACACAAAGAACCAAAAGAATGAAGCAAAACTCTATTTTTTATAAGATATAAAATATTATCGGTTCATAGCCAATTCACGACTATAACAGCAGTACTCAATAGCAGAGAAAAAATAATTTTTTAGAGATTTTTATCGATATGTTTCCAATTCACTTCTGTAATCAATTGCAATGCATTTTATGAAATGAAAATAAAATTACGATTATTTTTGTTATTTTAATCAGTCACAGATTTTCTTTTCTCTTTTATTTATTCACTTAGTTGCCCCAAGAAAAAGAAGAATTTCATAAATTCACAATAAGGAAGCCGAATATAATTTCACTGATAATTTACAATAAGTTCTCAATATCAACACAAATATTTTTCCCTAATTTAATTTCATGTGACACGTTTCCAAGATAATTTTTTTGGCTATTTGATGGAATCAAGTGTCTGCCTTTTGTATATACACATCAAAATAGTTTATTTTATTTTCGTATATAAATATTCAATTTACAGCACTTTAGAAATTTCGTCGCAACAATGCGGCAGTAAATTCTAAAGCAAGTAAAGTAGAAAATTGCAATTTATTTATTACACACATTAAAATTAATTTAAATTTTTGTTCATAAAACTTTTTTCCATTCTTATCTCATTGACATTCATATACCTGATGGTAACATTAAAATTTCACAAAGGCACTTGTATGTCATGTTTTTTTTTTCCATATTCTTACACTTTTCCCAATATATCATGTGGATATAACTTTTTTCGGTAGCCACGTCGGAAGTAGAATCGAACGGCGACAATCATTAGGCAAATTATTATGACTACATATGCAAGAACACCAATATGTAGATGTGCATCACCTGAAAAGATTTGTCGAGCTCTTGCATTGAATAATTTTGCGTTTGGCAATGTTTCGTAATACCCCAAATTAGAGACATGCTCATTTCCGTAGTGACGACGAAGAAATTCTAGAACTTCTGTTTTGTCCCATTCCTTAATGCCATTCTTTTTATGACACACGTGGCAATGCTCTTCTGCTGGAAATTGTATTTTTGGGTGATTTTCATCTTCTGTAAGGTCATCATGAAGTCTCTTATTAACCTAATTAGGAAGAAAATTTATTTTAGCTTTGCGTGACATTTTGGCAATTTACTATCAACTTACCTCATTATGTGAGCTCCACAACCATAAGACTGCCTGATCTCTGCTAGTAACGTTCCAAATGTGATTACGTTTAGCCATTTCTTGAAAATGTTTACTGCATTCTGTACAACCGAAGAAATGTTTTATGTAGCCATGCATTGCATGTAGAACTTCTAATGGATCTTGATCTGCATCTTTGAGATCACTGTCTAAATGCTGTACAGTTAAATGATGGAAAAGTGACCATAAAGAGCATGGAAACCTCCTGAGACCTGGTTTTGAACTAAAACATCCAACATATCTACTGTCATGAACTATGGGCGGACTCAGTTTACTCATGAATGTTTGCAATTCATCTCCACGAACTTCTGTCCTTGACGGTTCCATTAGGAAATCCAAAAGCTTCTTGTACGAATTTTTATTACCAAAATTATAATAGCGTGTCAAGACAGAAACGAAAGCACGAAGAGCACTTAAATATTCGCCAGAAATTACTTGTTGTTGAGTTACTTCATGACCCAGACTGTATCTAATTGCTTGCTCTAAATCTGCTCTAAATAATGGCATAGGTGACAATGCTCGTGCCTTATCATAATAAAATCTATCGAGTAATGTTCCAACAGAATCCTCAGATGCATTTTCAATATTAGGAGCTTCTGTTGATATTAAGGAAATATGGTTGTTTTTTACATGGTCATTAATTGCAAAACTTAAAGCTTCTCTCGATTCGTTGTAAACTGTGAGTGATTGGAATGTTCCGGTCTTTCGTTCCACAACACCCAATCGAAATGATGACGAGTAATCTTTAAATAATTTCAAATTGTTTGTATTAACAATTCGCGATGTGATTTTATCTCTACTGGAATAGTCGAGGAGAGTTTGTTGTGCAATTGTTTCAGGTAGCTCATCACTTATCACGTACACAAAACGAATAATTGACGGAACTGTATTAAAAATTTCATTCCATTCATCACCATCGAATTTTTCGAATTTTGGCCAATTAGGTCCACCATTGGTTTCATTTTGTAAAAGCATGACTAGTTCATTCATTAGGGCTGCATCTTTTGGAATGAGTAAATGATCTAAATTAGTTCCTAATTGTTTATCACCACGCAAATATTTGGGTGGAAAATATCTTATTGTTGGATATCTCATAATTTCGTATTGACGACAAACATCATTGTTCTCATCTGTAGCACAATCAAGAGCACACACTTGAACAAAGGTCCCCCATTTAGTTGCATTCTTAGCTAAGCTCTTCCATGTTGGGGAAAATCGTTGACACGCGCCACAGTAGCTATTATAAAATTCAACAAATGAAGCTACTGGTCGATCAAATACGACTTCATTGAAATTTGTGCTTGTCAAAACAGTTACGTGATCTGCCGGGCTATACAAGCCTAAAAAATTAAATGTAAATAATATTTTTTTTATTTACTCATCTTCATTCATAATTTTATTTTTTTTATCTCATTACCTTGAGGTGCATCTCTTTTCATTACCCTCTCATATGGACTCATGGAATATCCATTGCCTAATAACATAAGAAATAGAACAACCGTTCCAACTGAACCACTCCGATAAATATTCATTTGCAGACTTTTTAATTAAAATCTATGTTAAACACGTCAGCAATTAAAAAATTTCTTATGACGTTCTGTTAAAGCGGGAATGCTTTAATAATCAATTGACTTAACAATAGGAAAAACAGCTGCTGCTTATCACTCAATATATGTTTTACATCTTTCGCTATCAAAACAGAACTGCTATTTCATTTTCAATAATGAATTATTTCTGTTTATTTTCTTTCTATATTTTTCTATGTCTTTGTATTGGTGCTATTGTTCTTACAGGTGTGAAACATTTGAGAGGTTTTGGTTGTTTATGTTTTGGTTGAGTGAGATTCGAATTTTTAAAAACCGTTACGAGAATTGTGGAATAAGTTGAGTTTGAAGGAAATTCTCGACAACGAAAGAAAACTTACTTTAAATAAGGTTGGAATCGGGAAGCATTTAGGGGTCGTTAACTTATGACGTCCATCAAAAAACTTGATTTTTAGACACCCCTCCCCCCCTCTGTCACAAAAATTCTATAGAAAAAAAATTTCCATTGTTTGAACTGTCACAAAATCCTAGACCCCCCTCCCCCCCCCCTAAATGTCGGACGTCATAAGTGAACGGCCCCTTAGCTATTAGAGCTTTTAACAATTAAGAAGACAAATTCAGGGTTATAATCTTAACTTGACATGGCTTGACTCTTAATCTTTAGCTCATACAGCTCTATTCAAACGCTAGGAACTTGAAACTGTCGCTAGAATATTTTTTTTTTTTTATTTAATGCCTTCCTTCTTTTTTCTTGTGTCCCAACTCTAGAACTGTGTTTTGATTAAGCTCTTCTTTAGGAATTCAGGCTATTGATGGTAAAAAAAAATTAAATTCAAACAGTCAAAAAGCAACAAGTTTTAAGGCACACGTCCAAAAATTACTCAAATTTTATTTTAGGCTTTTTACACGAATTCTTATAAAACCATTTAGAAATATTTATATAATATTGTCCTCGATCCTCATTAATCATTTCATTGAGCTTCTTACAAATACTGCAGTGTGCATATTTGTCTGCTGGAATGACCACATCATAATACTTTTTCCACCAAAAGTAATTCATATATTCTTTTGGATTGTCAATTAAATATTTTAAATAAGTTGCCAATTTTTCAGCATCTGTAAACTCATTAGCATCTATATAGGATTTTGGTGGTGCAAATTTGTTCATATTCTCAACACCATTAAAAATTACTGGAACCACATTAAGGTTCATCATTTTATAAAACTTTTCAGTCACATAATCATTACAGATTCCATTCTCAAAAGAGAAATAGAAGTAATAGGTTGTATTGACTATCACATCACAAAAATCTGAATTTCTTGGACATTCTAGTGGTCCACAACTTCCATAAATATCTACATCTATAAACTTTTCAATTTCATTGACTAGATTTTCACGCTTCGAATGAGTAGTGCAGTGCGATACAAACCATGCTGCTGCTTTTGTTTTCTTTAAAACCAGTGAATGAATGTCTTTATCTTCACAAAATAAATAAACAAAAAATTTAGACATAAATAATAAAAAACAGTAAATATTTATTATTACCTTCAACACTTTCCGGATTTCTCCATTCGACATTGTGATCTGGTGCGAGTACTTTGCTTGTTCTTTTATCAATGACTTTTCCATAGCTCCATAAAATATCTGAATCTAATCGGTAGGTCATTGTAAGATTGAAATAATTTGCGTCTAGTTGGAGATTGTGCTTTAGTTCTGGTGGAGCTCTAGAAGTTAATTCAGAATGTTATTTGTGAGGTTTTGGTATTTAAGTATACAGGAATCTAGGGTATTGAGCCATATATAAGCGAATTTGACTGTGTGAGAGTTAGGGCTTTATGGCGCGAGTGGTTTGGCAACAGACTGGATACCTATAACCCTCTTTTGTGAAAAGGTGATTTCGATTCTCACCAATGACTGAATTTTCAATCATTATATCGAGTGTTGTCAATATCACAAGGATTCGCACAATGCTCACGACATTCCAGGAAATTATGAATTTGGGAGGTTCTTAATCAATTCATAAAATTAAAGACCTAAAAGGTTAAAGTTAAGACTTCCAAGCTGTGTATGAGACATTTGTCTATGGGTGTTCTCTGATCAATGGCTTCGTAGTACAAATTGCGGTTCGATTGGCTAGCTGCTTATGAGCCTGTTGATTGAGAAATTGGCATAACACTAACTTCTAGAAGGCTCTCATATTATTTTCAGGTGCTTTAATTTTTGTGAGTCGTGGCTTGATATGCACACTCAATTTTAATTATTAATTTAATTAAACAATATAATGGTTTGAGGATTCACTTGAAATAGCCAAACATTTGTAGATTATGATCAATGTTTTACTATCTGTATTTTAAAGCACTGATTGAATGGACTTGCAAAAAAGCCAAAGATGATTTCAATTTTAAATTTATATGTTTTCAGTTTCATTTAAGAAATCTTCAAAATTAAAATCTGTAAAAATTATATATATTGAATATAAAACTTACTCTAATGATGTCATAATATAATATTGATGTGGACTTCTAGTCTCTGGTAATGCACTCAACCATGGTTCAGCACTATGAAATATAAGTGCATCATAAAGGTGTGGAGCATCCAATAAATGTTTATCATGTGTTAAAACACAATTTGTTACTGGACAATTGATTGATTTGAAATAATCTTCGCCATTTGTTACACTTGGCATATGCCAAGTTTCGGCGCCGAACATTTTTGTCCAATAAAGGACATGAATTTTTGATGAATTTTTATTTGTCACAAAATTAGAATTTTCAATTAATCTATATCTTGTTGTGGATAGGACGAATACATAGTTGTTAACTACATGGTAAGCCATTGACAGTATCACTAATGAGAACACAGCTATTATCCAAAAAGTTCGCATTTTCCATCGTTGAAATTTCATTTTTGGTTTTTCTTTTATAAGATTTTCAATGTCTATCCACGGTATTATCCGCGTGAAAATTAAGGCCACATTTACAAAAATTAAATGCAATTTCACTTTTTTACATAATTTTATAGCAAAACTTAAAATATCCACAAAATGACTATTTTCTTAATTAATATTGTTCCTCAAAATTCAGTATTATCCAGCACTTCCATTAATAAAACGCATAATGCGTAGAACAAGTTCAATTCAATTCCGTCTTAAGAAATAAATATTTCACCCTTCTGACTATCAAAACAGTGTTGCTCACACAAGTCTTAGCACTAAACTAAACATCATGTTCATAGACACAAGCTTCGTTCATGCGGCGTATCCCACAATACTTCATTACATCACAATGCATATCTTACACATATAAAGAATTAATTTTTTTTAAGATGATAATTTTTAAAACTGTTTGTTAATAATAAAAATAATTCATTGTATCGTGTAAATAAGACGATTGTTATTATAATTTGACACTATTAGATGGCTCATCCAAGAACTAATGTGATTAACTTATGTTTGTATTTTTGGGGTTCTTCTTTAATTTAATAACAAGTCTATTGAGTCAATTAATGAACAGTTAATTAAATTTCTGAATTTTAATTCTTTTAATAAAACATTCTAGCACATGATAGATAGAAAATGAAAAATATAATGCGTGAGAGCTATGAAAGACATCTATGTATGATGGAACTTGATACTTTTAAATTTTTTTGGATTTATAAATTTTGAAAATGCCAATTTAGTTCAGAAAATTTTTTTTATATTAATAGCATTATGACTGAGGCCATGGATCACAATTGATCTGTTAGGAAATCGAAGTAAAGTAAGTGAGCATTACGACTAGGCTTACACTTTTGCACACTTATTGATTTCACTTTCATCAAAAAAAATATAATTTTTCGCAATTAGAAATCTGAATTCTAGAGATTTAAAAATATAAAAACTTAAATTGATGTTAAAATGTAACTAAATTGCTTTTATTGTCTAAGCTACAACAACTGAAACTCAACTAGGTTATCAATGATTTGTCTCACATTAGCAATGAATTGTTGGAATAACCATAATCAATAAGATGAATATGATGTTTGAAAATTATCATTTATTAACAAGTATTTAATAATTCATAAATCTTTGTTTTTAAGACATGGAATCGTACACAGGGCTGTAGCCGAGGGATTCTTACGTTCTTGAGCTCCTCAACTTATTGATTAATTATAAAAACATTTAAATTTTCTTCATCTCAACATAATAATCAAGATTTAATTGTTTTTAAAGCAAATATCTAATTCCTACAACCCTAGTCAATCAGTAACATAAACTTAATCAAAAATGTAAATGACATATAAATTTTTAATCATAAGTAAAGTATAAAGTAAATCAATATTTTTTTTCTTTACAAATATGAAAAGATATTTTGATTAGAACATCAAATACACGTTTATTTGTCAAAACTTTCGTTCCTAAATGATAATGGATATGAAAATGTAAATAATTGTATTTACATCCAAATTAATAATCCACGCTACATCAATAATAATGTCAATATACTATTTATATCAATTGACACTTTCTTTAAATACATACTTGACATACTGAATATTACATTGACTATTTAAAATAGCTGACACGCATGATGAAAGATAATTGTGATGATTTACTAAAGAAGATCTCAATAGGTTCAAAAAGGAATCGTTCAGTAGATTTTGTGTTCAAAACAAGGGTGTGGAACTGAAGAATTACATTTTGATAATTTTTGATCATTTTTGTTCATTTTTGATCATTTCATCACACCTTTGGTTCAAAAGCTCTTAACCTCAACTATAAATTATTCAAAATACAAATTTTTGATCAGAGTAAAGTACGAATATGCTGATTGTAGAACCTGTTTGAAATAGAATAAAATTAACTTTCATAATATTTTCCTGCTTTCTTCGACAAATTACATTAGAAAATGTTTCAATAGACAACGAAACAAATCCAAATCCCGAAAGCACACACGGTTTTTGTGATCTTATGATTAAAAACAAAATCAATTTCTTATCTTTAATGTCCTTCAGTTCATACCAGTTGGAATCAAGAATACTATTGCTCACATTTTGACTTGCAGTAATCAATTTTTCACCATAAAAGCAGTACAAAAAGACTTGACTTAGAGAACAAGCTGTGTAAGATGTTAAATAAAGGAAATCTGCAAGAGTTGTTGCAGTCGATAGCTGAAATCCACATGAGCTTATTGAGATAGCTCCTTGAATGAACGTGTAGAAGAAAATGAAGGTGAACAATGACTTTATGTCCTCGCTGACTTCAATAAGCTGCTGATGATGAGTGAAAATATCACGAAGGTTTGAACTTTGATTTTCATTGATTGCATTTTGAATATTTTTACCATTACATACTCTGCTGAAAGAATTAGAACATTAGCAAATAAATAAAAATCAGCAGCAATTACATTAACAGCTGAATTTGATACAGTCCAAACCATCCATAATATTGAAATAATCATATTAAGATCACTGACTTCATAATTAAATGGAAACCAAATTTCGACTGCTTGTTTCCTTATTTTATCAAATATAAGCTGATAAAGCATTCCAATTGTTGCAAATAAAACAGCACCAACTCCAAAACTAATGTAAATTCTGTAAAATGTAAGAAATCCTTTCAAACGGTTCTGCAAATTACAGCTTTGCTGCTCAACTTCAGTTGATGGAAATAAAATTCTCAATTTCTTCAATATGTTAAGAACCTTCTTTCTTTTCGTGAATATCAAGATGCATTTAAAACAATTGTACGGAAATAGAGCAACATTGGGCAGAACTCTTACAACCACATGAAGATTATGTATATCAACGATCAGGCGAATTACAAATTGAATAACTAGCAGCCACATCCCAAAAAAACAGATGTAAAAATACCAATTCATTAATTTTTCTTTGAATTTCGCATGCCAAGATGTAGCTTTTGATGGAATTATGTTTAATCCAATTAGTTTATAAATTTTTAATTGAAGTTCAAAAAAATCCTCAAGCTTTATTATTTTGTATGATGGCTGTTGTTGAATACTATTTTGGTCAGCCATTCTGAATTGTTCTCTTCCTTCTGAATTTTTCGACTTCAAGAATGAGTCTTTTTATTCAGATTTAAATGACAAAGAATAACTAATGTCATAAAATTGAGTATTCAGTAGCCCACTTAGTAATTGAATGTCTTCAAAAAATCATAAGTAATTAAACGAAATTTAAATTCAGAGTTCGAAGCTGGCTTAACCCCCAACTTAGATTTAAAGCACTACTTAAAAATAATATTACATATAAAAATTCCAATTCATTCTTAATTGGTTTTCTGGATTAGCTAGAACATTTTAAAAGATATTTTATTTTTTTACAATAGAGAACATAAGGACCAAAAGCAGATACTTACTTACTTACTTCGCTGGCCGTACAGATCAATTGTGATCCATGGCCTCCCTTAGATGGCGCCTGAAGCTGACTCTGTCGCTGGCTTCCGTTTGCCAATTAACCATACCAAATGCAATACTGTCTCTGTCAACAGCTTCTTTCCAAGAGTTCTTGGGTCGCCCGCGTGTTCTTTTGCCATCTACAAAAACATTCTTAAAGACTTTATTAATGGGAGCTTCAACAGGTCTCCTAACGACATGTCCAGCCCAACGGAGTCTGTTGACTTTGATTCGTCGTACGATATCAGCTTCATTGAAAAGCTGATATAATTCTGCGTTACTCCTGCTTTTGTAAAAGTCACCTTCTCTCTTCGGTCCAAATATAATTCGCAAGACCCTACGCTCAAATACACCAATTGCGTTCTCATCTGCGATAGTCATATTCCATGACTCAGAACCGTACAACACTACTGGGCGTATTAGTGTCTTGTACATCACTAGTTTGGCATTTCTCGCTATTCTCTTCGATGTTAGTAAATGTCTAATTGCAAAATATGCACGCTGCGCAGCCAAGATCCTTCGCTTAATCTCCACTTGTGTGTCAAAATTGTTGCTAATAATCGACCCTAGGTAGACAAAATCATTTACCACTTCGAATCTTTTATTGCCAATTGACAAATGAGACCCAACAAACTTCCTCGTTCTTTCAGATGCTGCCACCATGAGAAACTTTGTTTTGTCTTCATTCACACGAAGCCCGATCTTGTTAGCTTCTCTTTCCATTTTGGAGTAAGCGTCGGTAACGGATCTGATGTTACGTCCAACAATGTCTACGTCGTCGGCAAAACCAAGAAGCTGAGTTGACTTTGTGAAGATTGTACCATTTAATTCCAAACCAGCTTTCCTGAAAACTCCTTCAAGCGCAATGTTAAAAAGCTTAGTTGACAGTTCATCTCCCTGCCTCAGACCAATCCTGCATTCAAACAAACTTGATGTTGAGCCTTGTACTTTGACACTACACATGACTTTCGCTAAGGTTGCTTTGAGCAATCTTATCATTCTATGCGGGAAATGAAACTCCGCCATGATATTCCACAGCCCTTCCCGATCTATTGAGTCATATGCTGCCTTGAAGTCAATAAATAGATGATGTGTTTCTACATTCATCTCAAAAGCAGATAATCAGCTTAATCATTGAGAGCCGAAAGTGTTTTAATTGTAAAATTCAACTGAATTTTTCTTAAACTTCGATCTCTGAAATTTTTTACCAATGTGGGTTGTAAATACGTAACCAAACTCAAAATTCATGTGAAAACTTGAACTATCGAAGAATAAAGTAATTATAATTCTAATGAAGAATTTTAAAAAAAATTATGAAAAGGAAGTGGATGGTGGTAATTTTTGAAATGATTATTATAATTACTATATTTTAATAATTACAAAGTCTTAGATATTCTCAAGCAAAATGCCAAGGCAAACGTTTACTCCAAATTTAAAAAATTTAAAACGCTTTAAGATTGTTAATATGCTACTAAATTTTTAAAGCTCTATTATATCATTAAAAGAAGTAGTTAGAGTTGCGATACAGGTCAGTGCCTTTGGTAGGCAAAGAAAAATATTAGTGAATGTCTGTGACAGATCGCAATTCTGCTTGTAATTTTGATCTTTTGGAACATCCACATCAATTTCATCTGAAGATTTTGCAACTTAATTGCCTACTTCTTTGATCATAGTACCTGAAACAAGGCGTGAAAACTATCAAAAATATCCCAAAAATATTCAAATTAATCCCTGAGCCTGTATGCATGCCTGTATCCACATAACATTTTATGTTCGATTAGATATCTCAAGTTTAATGTCTACAGACTCAGTGGTTTTTTTTTTGATATTTATCGGATATTTGGGATAGATTCCACTCCTTGACCTGAAACAAATGAAACATCATAAAATCTTCTTTTTATAATTTCAAAAGAAAATCATAAATCCATATTTTTTATTCCTTTTCCAATGATTTTAATTTCATTTTTAACGAATTATCTTCCAATATTCTCCACTAAAATGTCTACCAAAAAACTCTTTAAATCTTTAGTTGAAAAAAAAGTTCTCCAATTAGAAATATATACTTTCATCTTGATTATTAAGTTTTTCTTTTCTTTTAATTTAGATAAATATGTTCAGTATATAATAATCTATAGAATATAATTTTCTTCTTTAAAAGATAGTAAACTTTGAGTCAATAATGTTTTTTTATATTACTTTATTTTAGTTCATTTCAAGGAGATCAACAAGATTTGTTTTCTATCAGAACATTCCTTTTCCACTATGTTAAATGGTCTGTCTATTAAAGTTAAGTTTACATGTGTTTAGGTGTGCATGAGTATGTGTCAATGTGGTCATCAAATTTTTTGTTGGGTCTCATTCAAATAAGGGTCGATTATACTGGAAACTTTTGAATATTTTGGCTGTATTTTGGATATGATAAATGAGTTTAATGAAACATGTTGGTTACTGGAAGTTGGTTAGACATATCACAAACTGTTTTAGTACCTTTGATCGATGCAAATGTGTAGTCATGATTAAAACTATTTAAATTAATGATTTGAACATTTAAGAGATTTTTCCCATCCCCCCTTCCCCCCTCCTCCCCACCTTTGACTCAACCAACAGAATTAACTGTTCTTCGACTAACATTGAATTCAAATCTGAGTTGATGGTTGAGTAGCCTGGCAAGTTTCAGGACTCTTTATGACAGAAATTTCGAGACAAAAAAACTTCAAATCCCCCAAATTGTAAAACTTTACCTTTCTTGCTACACTTAATTTAAAAAGAATATTAGCTTTGTTTTTGTTGCACGCCAATAAATAAAAAAAATTTTAAAATAAGACCCCCTTATCCACAATTTTAGTATTAAACCCCTTTCAAAAATTATGATGACCAAATTAACTGTGATGCAGTAGATTCAAAATGATGTCTTGATTGATTAAAAATACGAAACTTTTTCTTTTAAATTTAATTTTAACTTGTGATGATTATACAGTCATCTATTCCACATAAAAATTTGATTGTGGTGAGAAATGAAGACGTTTTTTTCTTATTAAGAAAAAAGAGAAAAGTAATGGGAATTTTGAACTATAAGTATGTCATTTTGCTTCTTATGCTTTCATTTAATGTTAATGATTTTAAAATCTCAATTAATAGTTCACTTAAAATTTACTTATTGAAGAACCCATCATTTTTAAAATAATTAAAAAAATGTCTTAATCCTTAATAATAAAAATTCATATTATTGCAATCTGATAGTTGACTATATTAAATAAATAAAATTAATTGATTTTTTTTCACTCTTTAATTTTTAATTAAAATGAAATATTCATAAAGAATAGAGACGATAGAGTTTGATTGACTAATGGGAAATAAAATTTTACGTTTAAAAAATCACCCGCAAGAAGAATAAACTTTGTTAGTAAATTAATATAAAATCAGGGATATAAAAAGCAGTCATGAATTCAAAAATAGAAAATTGTCTGGCTTAAATGGCATGCGGGGAAGGTTCATTTAAGCAGAGATGTTCACAATGGTCAATTAACTTTAAAAAAATCAATTTAAATTTAAAAAAATTCTGATTTAAATATGTTTTTTGAATCATTCAGTTAATGGTCTAGTCAAGGGTCTATAAAGTCATTCTTGATCAAAAACTATTGTTATGGCATTCGTGCATGTCCTGTCGAAGATCCGACAGTGAAATTTTATAAGTAACTTCAAAATAAACAATTTTACAGCCCTTTTTACAATTGCTTATCATGAAGTGAACATCCAGCGACACAACATATTTGCTATGTTAAAGTGTTGAACACAAAAAGTCACAATGACAAAAGAATGAGCTGATAGCACAATGTCAGCTCACTATATTGTCACTTCGTGTTCATATTCACAAACTATATTGTCACTTAATAACGGTAAAAATAACATTTCTCGTAGTATGCAATTCGGGTCTACTACTTCTGATTCCTTATTGAAGTTATTGAGTTCTCTTGAACTTTTGGAACCTCCCCACATCCCACTTCAAGCCATACATTCACAATATAAAATTATAGAAACATCCTTATTATTTACAAAAAAAAATATATTATGTTTGTACATTAAAAGCCAAGGAATCTAGAAACATCTATATTATCATTTACAACAATCCTCTTTTAATCATGGCAATCATGGCTACTGACTATTGCTGGCTAAATCAAATTTAGGAACTTCTTTAGTAAAAATATAAACTATGAGGAATTGAATTTGATGATTTACTCGTGAAAAAAGGGTTGTTTTTTGATATTTTTAAGGTTCGGAATATCTTTGAATGAATATGGTCTATAAATCTGAATGTTCAGCAATTCTTGACATTTCCAATTAATCATTCATCCATTACAAGATTTCCTTAATTTTAAACGACATTTTGATAAGTATAAATTTTAGTACAAAAGTTTTGAAACATTTAATGCTGAAGGATTTGGTGTTTTTTATTTAGTACGATAGATGTCCTTTCAAAACTTGTGCCTTGATATCTTTTAAATTGTATTTTTTTTAATGAGTTTCATGTAACCTTGGCAAAACAAGAGAGTCTACCTGATAAAGCAGTCCAAAAAGTCTTAATTTAATATCTAGAAAAAATTCATCAAGTGCAAACTTTTAACTTTTGATTTTTCATCTACTTAACCTTAGCCAATTGTTTTAGTCTAATAGCTAAATGGATGGAACTAACGAGCTACTAGAATACTTTTAGATAGGAAGAATTGATTTAAAGGGAAGAGATTATTGAATGTAAGGTATCCTTCTAGGCACTTCAAACCGGCTTAGCTTCAGCCATTATCAGAAAAGATAGAAACAACGATCAGTTCCCGAGTGGATATAAGACATTATTGCCAAGATAATAGCTAGACGGTCCTTTATCGTTACCGAAAAGATGTCATCAGACAATAATTTATCGGAGTTCTCCTGCTCGTCCATCCTTTTCTTCTCAATTCTACCTAAACCCTACATTTTACTGAGACCTATCAGCAGGATACCTACATTACTAGATATCATTCTAAATTCTATTTCACAAAAACTAATCATAACTGAGAAAGAAGTTCCATCCATAAAGAAAATTATTTGTCATTATGCTTATAATAATAATGTAAGGTACTAAGATTTCATTATTTTTGTCGTCGTAAACATGAGTCTCATTTGTATGTACTCGGTCTATCTTATTAACGTATATAGAATTAGCAAGCAGCAAAGGATCCTAATCATTGAAATTCTTTAATACTTTACATTCTCCTCGAGTTGCGTGAAAAAAGTGTTTAAATCTCGTCTGTAAAAATGGCAAGGATTTTGTTATCAGTAATTGGACATTCATTATTAAATGATTGGTATCTTTAGGATATATTTTTTACGAGAGTGTATCTGAATGTGTCATGGGTGCATTAATAATATTCATCTGCTTACTATTCTGTGTAATGCATTTATGTCCTGTCTAATGATTGTGATAAATGTAAGGTGCACTTTCCATAAATGTCAATTAATCATCTTTCATGCTTTAGTTCGTTGTCAATACTTTTTGTGATGCTGAACGAATGGATGGCTTCTTAAGTCTTGACTTTGGCGTTTCTTTTGTTGGCGATGGAACTTCTGACAATGATGTATGTTCGTTGGTATCATTTGTTGCTGCCGCAACGTCTGACAACGCTGAGTCTAATGATGCTTCCTTCCTTAATTTTCGAGTTATTGATGTTCCAGTTATAACCGGTGCTAAAATTTGTTTCTTTCGATTGTTCTTCTTATCGTAGAATCGTGAATTGCTTAGAGATCGTTTGCCACGCTTGTGCATTGTCTCTAGACTCGAATCATCAAATGATGGACATAATTTACATAAACGACTTCTCGTTACAGGTCCAATCATGTCCTCATTCACCAAAACGACTCGTTCATGCAATACTGGTGATTGTGTCTGAGATTCGGATGATTGTGAATTCGCAATAGTCGTTGTGATAGTTTGATTTGTTGTCGTGACAGAACTTACAGTACATGTTAATGGTTTGACAGGCGATCGTGACAATTTCGATCGTCCCAATGTCGTTCGACGTACGGAAGCCCTTTTTGTGACATCGTCTTTTGATTGCTTGCCTTTGATTAACTTATTGCTGCTTGTTATTGTTGGAATGTGACTTATCGGATCAGTACGGATTGGTGATGTTGTCGATGTGATGGTGTTGTTTCCAGTTGTTCTTACAACAACATATGCAAATCTGAAAATGAATTTCAATAGTTTAATGATGAGTCAAAATTGGATATTCTAATTTTCTTCTACTTGCTGTTTTTTTTACTCAAATTAAAAATTCATAAAACTTGTTCACCAGGATATACAAATCAAAACTTCTTTCAGTTCGATTAAAATTATTTTAAAAAAAAAACAAAAAACTTTAAAGTTCATGCACAAATAATAAATTCAACACTGCTAATTAATCAATAAAACAAAAAAAAAACTTACAAGTAAATAAATTAAAACAAAAAATGTCTTTAAGATTAACAAATTTTTCGTATATTTAATAATATTTTGATATTTTTTTTCTCGTACAGATTTTTAAGCAACAAAAAAAAACTAGAACTTACTTTACTAGCATGCAAAATTAATTATCTGATAATCGTTTAGCCTCTTTAATGTGTAATGCAAGATATGCTACACACCCAGTGAATAAATGACTATTGACTCAACAATAAGCATTCAATAAGGTGAATCTGTTTGGGAAATAAACTAGCTGCTTTGCTTGTTTTGAGACTTGCAGTCTAAGTTGTTGTTTTTAAAAATCTGAATAGCTATTCTTATACGTTGAAGCCCTAAATGCTTGGTCTAGACTAGTTTTTTGAATTTTCCCAGTTCTGAAAGATTCTCTGACATTCCTAATATCTGTAAAGTCTAACAGCATATAAAGAATCTCCCAAAAGCTCTTTAATATTCATCATCAAAACATAACATGCTGGGATGTAATTAAAAAGCTTCTCACATTAACATATTAATGTTAAATGCATTAACAGACTAAACACTTTTCAGATAATTAATTGTAAAATAATGGAATGTATAAAATTTCATTAATAAATTGCTACTTAAGAGATAATAAAGTGCTATAATTGGGTACTGTGTTACTTCATCATTTTAATTGCCAACATTTTCAAGAACTTTTCTTTTTATTTGGTTAAAGCTGAATTTCTTTAAAGTTTTGGAATGTTTTGGTTTTTTAAAGAGATTTTATGAACTGTAGATAAGGTTGCTAAATCATATTTCTTTAAGCATGTGCTGCGCTGCATACATTTCGATTTATCAATTAAAATCTACACATTTTGTGCATATTTTTGGATGTGAAAACATCGCAGATTCTATTTTAAACAAGCTTAACTACAAGTTTTCAGATTTATACAATGCCGTAGTAAGAAGGGCGTGATAGGAGACAGTATACTTCATGTTGAAAACTATTTGAGATCCACTACTCTACGGCAGGGATGTATGCGAATTTTTTCGAGGTATATCTGGATTTTTTTTAAATATTTTAATATTTTTGGGGCAGTTCTGAATTTTTTCCAATTCACATTTAAATTTAAAATGATGTTTTGGACTTCCTTGACTAATCCACATAATGCAGTATTTCTCAAACTATGCTCCACGACACACTATCACTAAAGTCGCCAAGCATATTTAATTTGCACTAGCTTTTGGAAGGTATGGACACAAAAATTTCATTGGATTTCATGCGGAACAAACTGATTATTCATCAGGTGTCCATACCTTTGGTGATTAACTGTGTGACGGTTAAAAATGTTTAAGAACCACTGCTTTAGAGAAAGGAGTTTGTTATTTAATTTAAATTATAATAGTTGGAATGTTTGAATGTCTCTATCAATATATTAATTTGTAACTTATCATTATAAATTGTTCTTTAAAAGTTAATATAAAAAATATATTTTAAAGTTGTTATTTTTTAAATACAAAAAAAAATGCATATAAAAATATAATTTTTTCTTTAATATTATTTAATTTTGATTGCCAAAAGCAAATTAGCTAAAACATATATAACTGATGATTATTCACTTTGTGACGCAAATTTTCAATAAATTTGAAAACTTCCATGGATACTACATGATCGACCACAGTGCAAAATAGAATGTGGTACGGTTTTCGATTTTAAAAATTACACAAAAATAACTCAACATACATAATTCACTCAATTCATATTGAAATGAACTATTATACAATAAATCACTGATAATTATATCCACCAAAACCAACAGAAAATATTAAAATATACAATTATGCAATTACATTAAACATTTAGCTATGAATAAAATATTCTCATACTTAAAATCTAGAATAAATCTTGCTATTGATTAATGTTATCGGTAACGTCATTAAAGAATTATTCAACAAACTTAAAATCTAATGAAACAAAAAAATAATTAAAGCGTGCAAAAAATATGTTTTGTTAATTTCTAAATCTAATAAAAAATCAAAGCTGTAGCTGTAATTCAGTGGGTGCATTAAAATGTTCTTAATCACATTTATACAATGATAAATTAAGGCAACAACACCAATCAGAAGGAAATGATTCAAAGGCATTTACCTTGCATTTCCATTTCCACCTCTTGTTATAGGTTTTGCAATATTTGTGGGATTTGTTGTGGTTCCTTCATGGTCAAGGGATCGCGTGTTTGATTGTGATTTAGCGCGACTATGATATGAACGTGGCTTTACCAATATAGAGTCCGTTCTGTAAGTGGGCAATAAAGAAAGGAAAAGAGAAGAAAAATATATGAATTAAGAAGAGGAAGTATTATGGAAATTTGTTGACCTAAAAACATTTCATTTTCCTCTATTTATACATTCCAAGACGTCCTTGTAGCATAACTTAAGTAAAATGGAAATTATTACTTACTGTGTTGAGGAAACAGTCAATGATCGATGATGATTTGCAGCTCGTCGAAATTTGATTTGATTTAACTCATCCCCTTGTGTAAACTGTTCACTTGAATCAATGGCAGACGGAAGCTTTGCTGGCAATGTATTCGTATTTGTGGCACCAGGTGTAAGTTTCTTTATGAGATTAGGGATAGGACGTGATTTTGTGCATTTACTTGATGGTGCGCTAGCACTTGACGTGATTATGTTTCCGTTCTTATCATTTGTTTTAACTGATGGTACGGAAGTCACTTCTTGCACAATATTCCCATTTGCGTCATCATGAAGCTTCATTGTATCAACCTTTTCAGATATTCCATTTACTGATCGTGACCTTTTCTTTATATTCTTCTCTTGAATTTCTCCAATTATTTCATCAACATTATCTGTCGTTGTCTCGTCGTCTTCGGTTTCATCAACGTCTCCATCAATGTAGTCCACCGTCTGTATCATTTTACTCTCGAGTAAGTCTTCATCGAGGCAGCTTTTATTCTTATAGCTGTAAACACCGAGCTCGTGAAGTTTTATTGATTTTATTTTATGTTCACGACGATATGCTTCACCTTGCAACCACATGGACAATTGTTTTTCTTCCATCCACTGCTGTTGATGTCCAATCACACTACCAGGACGACAGAGACGAATCCAAGCGATTGTTTCCATTGCTGTTAAATGATAATGCTTCATTATATATGCACCAATTAGACTTCCAGTACGACCAAGACCTGCTTTACAATGTACAGCAATTGCACCATCAGTTTTCTCACAAATATCTAAAAATTGGTTTAATATTGTATCACTTGGCGTGGAACCGTCACGAAAGATAAGATCATAATGTTTAAATCCGGCATCTGTAAAGCTTTGTGCTTCATAGAACTTGTAATTTAATCGAATGATCGTCGTAACGTAATTCTTTTGGAAGTACTCAAAGTATTTATCAGGAGCATGATGTGTATATCCTTTATTATCAGTTCCTGATAACATGTGTGGACCACAAAATGCTATAAATTTATTCGGAACAATCCAATTCAGGTCCCCACTCTCAACAATCTCATAATGCTCATATTCCAAGTAATTAAAGTCATCGAAACTGAAAAATCCAAACTTATGAGCCTTCTCAATTGCCCGCAAACAATCCAATAGTGTTAATTTGTACTCGCTCAGCACAGCTGATGCATCATTGAATTTAGTAAACGTTTGTGTCTCATTGTTCGTAAGCAATTTGTAAACATCGTCTGCTGTCTTATTTAAATAGATTATGGCATACGAGCCGATTGCGTAGGCTGAATTTAGACGCTTTTCTTTATCCATCCAGGTATATTGAATCACCATTCTATTCGCTTTACGTGCTGTTTCCAATTCCATATTGAGATACTTACAATAATGATACAAGTTACATATATTGTACGGTCCGAAATCATTATAGAAACCCTCGTAATGTAAGAAATTGTCAACTCGAATATACGAGCGATTCTTGTTCGACAGAGGCTTTAAATCTCTCTTAAATGTCACAAATACCAATTGATCTGAGAAAAAAATATTAAACTAACGTTACGTTCTGTCATTGAATAGATTAATTAGATTTTAATTACTTGGTATGATCTCAATGTACGCGTACATATGCTTATTTGATTCCATAATTAATTTTCTTTTGTTCATTGTCATCACATTCGTCTAATAGTGATTCTCATTCGTAGGCAGCGCGCGATAAACTGAAAAAACCTTTCTTTTCCTTTCTCTTTCTAATTTCTTTTCTCACTGATTACTTCCAGAGCTAAAAATGAAAGAATTTTTTTTTTCTATATTAAATCATCGCTATGACATTGAGGCAGTGGATTTTTTATGCTTTTTTTCTGTACATAATTCGAGTGTGCACTTTATGTGATAAATTGAAATTTGTGTTGATGGTGCGCAAAAAAAATATTGTACTCTTCTTGTTGGTTCTTTCACTGATTTTTCCTCTAGTTGAGGATTTATTTTGATAAACAACAATAATATGTTGGAGAAGCTATGTGCAACCCACAAAATAAATATGAATGCAAATTACCTTTTTGCCTCTTGTGAGTTTCTTCTTTGTTTGTGGAATATATTTTCTATTTTATTATGTATCTCCCACTTGACTTGTTTAGACAATTTTTTTTTTCTCTCTATGCTTGATAAGATTTATGTTTCACTTAATCGCAACAAAAAAATATGTATTTTGTTGTTGTTTTGGATATTTCTTTTCTTCTTTTATTCTCTATTATTTTAAAATTTTATTTTCTTTTGCTAGTTTTATTGATGAACTTACATAGAACGCGCGATATCTTATGGTAAACGAATACTACAAGGAAGCATTTGACTGCAAAAATGTTTTATGTGGGTGGAAAAAGACCACATCTTGTTTAAAATAATATTTTTTGTAAGTTTTAGCAAAGTTTTGAAGAGAGAGAAAAAACAAGTTTTGAGATTATCCAATTTCCTATAATGTATCGTTTATCCGACGACCGTTACAATATTGGTCGTATCCGCGTTAAGCAATTCCTTTGCATTTTAGTTTGAATTTATTTTGATTGTTAAAAGAACTCGTGAAAAGTCTTTTTCAGTGCGCGTAATTCGCAGATTTTATGTTTCTCACTCTTAACTTATTTTGAGTTATTTCTTGCTTTTTTGAGGATTGACAAGCAGTGTTGCATTCTGGCGATTTGTCTGGATCAGATAAATTCTGAGACAGAAATTTCTTCATAAAGATCGATTCTATGTGAAGATAGAAAATCTAATCTACACAAAGATTATTTCTACATAAAGAATCTGTCTACATAAAGATTCGATGTAGATGTCTACAATTCTACAGTCTTCATCTAGTGTAGACATCTACATTTGCAACACTGTTGACAAGCATCCAAAAGCATTGATTTTTCATCTATATCCCTACATACTGCAAAATATGCGTAAAATCTTTGAATAATCCTAGTTTTTAAATAATATTGAATATTCTCAAGGTTTTTTTCCTCCGGAGTTTATTTATTGATCTAGAGAAAACCCTACTCATTGGGAATTGAACTCATGTCTTTTTAAACATCAGGTAATTATAGATTTTAGGTCTATTGTTGGTCCTCAAGTACTTTGCTCTCGAGCTGACATCTTTTGCTGTATGACTCGATGTTCTTAATAATTAATTCAATTCTTAACTCATTTTTCAAATACCTTTCAATACCTTTCAGATACCTTTTCTCATTAGGTTCACGGTTAAAAATGACCTTAAGCTAAGTAAGACTTCAAACAAAACGACTTTGCTGAAAGAAAAGACTGATTTTTGATGAATTTTGAAGTTTTTCTCCATTCACCAAAGGTGTACCAACTTCGTTTAAATTTGCAAATAAGCACACTGAGGTAGAAAAAGAAATATTTTTTTAAAAAAAATCATTGGAAAATTAGAAAAGTTAAAAAACCTTTTAAAATTGAAGAAACTCTGAATGACTTCAAACATATTTATGTAGGATATGGAAATCTTCTCCCAAATATATCATTTCAAATGCTGTAAAACCTTTCAAATTTGCATTTTTCATTCTTTCATTGTATCAGTCCTTTTTTTCTTCGACCTTATATTGCTTTTCAGTGAATTTGTATGGTGCATTTATGAAGGATTTGAACCTTAATCGCATTCCTCTGTTTCATATAGATCTGAAATTGAAATGTTTATTCAACGTGCATGCAAGAACCTGTAACAATTCATCTAGAAATAAAAATTCAATCAATTTGCATGCAGTTTCTTTTTTGAAAATTATTGAAGATCCACCAAAAATAGTGCCAAAGTTAAGCAAATAATAAGAAAAATTCCTAAAACTTAAAAAAGAAAATTTATTTGCCAATTAGTATTTTTAGTTGTTCAATAATTTCAGTAGATATCTTTCGTTTATTTCTTCTCAAAAAAAAGTTCTTTATCAATAAATTATTTCTTTTTTTCGCTTAAAGAGTGCTCAGAGTCAAAAAATTTGCATCGCGTGAGGGTGTAGGTGAGAGAGATTGAGACACTACCTTTGTTTTTGGTTTTTTTTTTTTTGGTTTTTTACTAGATTTTTTTAATTTAATTCTTTTAATGCAAATCTGTGTACAATAAAAGTGTTTATGTTTAACAAAAAATAATATTTCATAAGTTACATTTTTTTTGATTTTTTTTTGTGTATTATTTTTAACTTTTTTTTGTATTCAGCGAAACGCAAAGCGGCAAATCGAAAATCATAAAAATATTTTAATTTTTTTTTTTGTTTATTAACTTAATGAAAAAATATAGATTATCTCGCCATTAAATTTTCTTCACATAAGACGATGAAAAATAGAAAAAAAAATATTAATTTTCATTTATGTTAAATTAATTATATATTGTATGTATATTTATATTTAGAGACACGTAGAGACTTTTATATTCGTTCTTTATACTTTACGATGTTGGGCTCGGGTGCATTCAATAAGATGACAATTGAAGCAGCAAATTAATTTTGAAAGTAGAGAAAGAGAGAGGACGACGATGTTTTTGTAATTTTGTTTTTTTAAATTCATGGTTTATGCAGAAGACACGTTAACAATATAATTTCTTTTTTTTTTTGTTCTTGTTGTTTCAATTTTTTTATTTGAAAAGATCTAATTTAAAAAAAAATTTCTTCACTTTTTTTGTTCAAATGAATAGTTTAGTGCTTTGGTTTGGTTTCAGGCTCATATTCTTCATTGATTACAATTGGAGCATGTTTGTCTCGGAGATATAAACCGTAACGTGATGGGTATCTGCGTTCCAATTCCTTCATGCGCTCTGCATGGTCATCCCAGGCTTGTTGAGCATTCACTGGAGCTTTGTGGAGGCTCTCTATAAAAGGATGAATTCAATTGTATTTTTTTAACAAGTAATGGATGAAGAGGATGCTTACGTGGACGTTGGGATGGACGGCTGTAGATAGCTCTTGGTGAGTATCCGTAAGTTTCTCTGTGTACAGGTAAATAGCGATATCCTGGAACGGTAATTCTGCCAGCTGCAGTGCTTGGTTCATCGTAGATTGTGAATGGTGTGCGGAAATCTTCACGTCCTTCGTGGGCACGGATATCCTCAGATCCTAAAGATTTCAAAATTCAGACAATTTTCAAGCTTCAAATAAGCTTTAACTCACCCTTCAAGGATCTGATATATGATTGCCAGAATTTGGCTTTTTTGTTTGGGGATTCGTTGAACCCAATCATGGCGAGATGGCTCTTGAACATTTTGCTGCTTTTCTGTGGGTTTCTTGCTTCAAACAAAAAAATTAAATTAAATTCGTTCGCTGCAAAGATTGAAAAAAAAAGACAAAAATGAGATGAGAAAAAAATTGGAGCAAAAATTTCTCGGTTAACGATTTTGTAGCCTTCAAAACTTCTTCATGTGAGCTATGACAAGAAGAAAAAGATTTTTTTTTTTTTCATTTTTTTCAAGTTTGAGCCGCAAGCATTTTCACGGGATTTTTCATTTCGCAATAACTTTTCTTTTTTTTTTTGAAAGAATCTAAAAATAAAAAATTTCTCTCTCGCCAGTAAAAAAAATATATTTTTTTTTTGAGTTATACACGAAAAATGATCATAGCCATTTCCAAGTTGAGTGGGATTTCGTTTTTCTCTTGAAAAAAAACCTTTAACATTCGCGCAAAAATGTACAGCTCGCGTGCGAATTCTCGTGTAGGCGTTATGAAAATTTCGTAATTGAAAATTTTTACATTTTTCACGGGCTCGAGACGTAAAACAGAGGCGAGCAGGGAAAATTGGCTTGTATTCTTATTTCATTTCACACCTTTTCATTCATTTATTGTTGAAAGTATTTTTAAATTTTGTTGAAGAAACTTGTTTGAGGATCTTTATTATTGTATTACTACATCACGTAATAGAAGAAGAGGAAAATGAGATTTAAGATGATCTGCATACAGCTAGCTTGCACTTCTTGATGAGTGCTGACAGATTTATTGCAAATTCTCTTTTATTAAATTTCATCCAATATTTGCGGAATCTTGTTTAAAAGGTTCAATTTATTTTATTTGAATGAATTAATTTTAACATTGTGTAATGATACATCTGGCTTTTGTTTCTTGAATTGACACTTTTTGAGTTTCTGATGTTTCATAAATCTTCTTGCTTTTAGAGCTTTTCTATAAAAATTTATTTCAATTCATTGTGATATGGAGTTTTTATGATTTTTGCTGTCGATCTCGAATTGAAAAAAGGAGCTATGTAACATTTATGTGTTCCTAATCTACAAAGAGCTAGATCTGAGATTGATGATTACTTAAATTTTTAAAATCCTTTATTTGAGCTCGAAGTCAACAATACTTGAATTGCAAAATTTAGCAAAACTACTAGTGTACTTCAAGCAGTGCTATTTGTAAGTAAGAGAAAAAATGTCAAAATTTTCTTCGAAGATAGATATATGAATGTATAATCGTTATGTCCCAGTTTCAACCTTCCATAAATCACGTATATCTTAAAATAATAATAATAATTAATTATATCAAGACTCTACTTTCATGCTTCAATAACAGATGTTATTATCAAAAAAAAAAGATTGATCAAAACAATCAAAAATTATCTAAAATGTTCAAAAGCTAGTAGCATCGAATCCACGAGTATACTTATGGTACCGTACATAAGCTTAAAAAAAGCTTTTTTTTTCTCGCTCGGCAATTTTTTTAAACTTTTTATGCCACATTTTCATGATATATGTAAATCTCATTCATTAAAATTAATAATTAATCAAGATATAGCTGAATTAAAGCCATATTCAGGTTGGTGTCAAAATAAGACTCAAAGAAATGTAACTTAAACTACAATAATTCCAAATTTGAAATAAAGAAAGATTATTTATGGTACCGTAACATACTCAAGACTATGTTATGTACCATGAGTATACTCATTTGTCTGTTAGGGACCTTGTTGATTGAAAATTAATCAAACTTAATTTAAAAAATTAATCCGTGATTTTAAAATTTATCATTTTATGGTCAAAATATTTATAAAAGCATCGATCATATCAATTATTTAGGAAAACACAAGCATTTAAAACTCATTGCATTTTTACTTTAATTTAAAAAGTTGAAAAATCAACTCCCAGACACGCACATACTTATTTTCACTTTAAAAAACCCCCAACGAATCCTAAATATTTATCATCTTTTTTTTTCATTTTCCCAAAAAAAAATATATTTTCGCTACCGTTGCACAACATAAACTTCGTTGGTTTTTCAAAATCACATAAATTTTGATGATGTCATGGGTCTAAATTTAAAACCTCTGTCAAAAGCTTCTCACTCTTCGTGAATGTGAAATATTTTTCGCAGGATCTTATGACTAATGCTTACATTATATTAAGCTATACGATTGATATTTTCTCACATTTTCCTACGCGATTTTAATGAATTTATTTTTGGCATGAATCATGATGGATATATTTTAATGATGATTGAATTTTGTAGGATATAAACAGCATAGAATTAATTAAAAATCTTTTGACACTTCATTTCAATTGATGAACTATTCCACACATCATTAATAGCTGAATGTCATGAACATGGAAACTCAAAGAGGTCACAATATAAATCTAAACATAAATTTGCTCATTTTCAAGATCTAAGCGTTGTCGCAATCCAGTCATTCGAACAACATTTCATCTTTATTTTTTTCTCTACGTCGTACTCAATTAATGACTGTCAGACTGTTATCTCAGCGTAGCATGAAAAATGAATATTTTTAAATATAAATGAAGTCAATTTCCATTGGTCGCTAATGAAAAACTTCATACTTTTTTCACTTGAATGTTAAAAATAGATTTTTTTTCTCGCACTCGGTCTGCTTTTGGCTATTTAACTTTTTTTCTCTTTTTGCTTCAGGTGATTTGATCTAATTTATATTGATGTGAAATGTTCACTTATGTAACTGAATTGAACTTTGTGGTTATCAGTTTTTAATTTAATTTGATTAGAAAATGGAATGTCTTTTTGAGGACTTATCATTTATTTCCAAAAATTTTCAAGAGTTTTCAATTTAATTTAAAAATTTAAGTTCACTTTTCAAAAGTTTTTGATTTCAAAATTTAGTCCATTTCATTCTTAACTTTCATCTTTGAATTTTTCAAATTTTTCACTTTTTTATGAATCAGACTAGAAAGAATCCTTTTAAAATGCACTGTTGCAAACAAAATTAAATCTTTTTCTTCAAATTGCAAATATTTGCAAAATAATTTTTAAAAAAAAATCTCATTATAAACTTACTAAAATGTTAAACGTAAAACTAGAAATTTGCTCTGAACTTAACTAAACGAAAGATATTAAACAACTGATCCAGTAAATTTTCAAAACGATAATTTTAAAACTCACAAGAAATTTTTTTTCTTCTTTTTGTGTCTTTCGTGGGAATTTTTTTCTTTCTGTGTGAAAAAGCTCTATTTTTATTTCTTCATGATATAGACGAAGGTACAAATACTAACATCATGTGAGGATCATTTCGATGATTGGGAAAATTAAGTTGTTTAATTCAAGTGGCCCCTCAAGTGTGTCTGTCTTGGGAACATTAAGTTTTTAAAATCTTCCTGAAGACTTTTAAGTTATATTGAATACATTAAAGCGCCAATCCATACAATTGCCAAAAAAACCTTTGAAATTGAGTACAGATGAACTTCAAAAAGGTTCTGGTTTCCCAAAAATAGACATATTTTTAATTATGCATGTTCATGGCAATGTAAACTAGAAACTTAAACTTGATTTTGCTTGTTTTTTCAATGTTTATGTTAAAATTTAACGTATCATTGTTCAAAACTTATCGTCTGCTTTTCAGTTTCAATTAGAATCTGTTAATTCTCATTATTCATTATTTCTCATAAAAGTTTGTCATATTAAGATTCGAACTCATGATTTCTATTTATTAAAGTATTGATATTGAGAGTCCATGATTTGAGTAGATTTATTTGATTTGAACAGATTCCATATAAGTAGATTTTTTCTAAAATAAATAGCAGTTAAGTATTGATATACCAAATCTTGTTGACATCTACTTACCTTTTTGATGTAGATTGGTTACACTGGATCTTAAAATCCACTTAATAATTCAACCACTTATTTCCAATTCTAAATTACATTAAAAATACTAGTCAAAGTCTCTTAAACATCCTTGACAAAAACCTCATCACATTCATCCATCATCACCATCATTTGTACCAGAATCGCCAATCTTACCCCATCACTATGCAAAATCATAAAATTATACACAGAAAAAAAGAGATTTTTTTTAAAATACGAGAAAATTTTCTATTTTTAAAACACGAATGAGAAAAAAAAATCTTTTTTGTTATTGTCGACGAAATTCAACATTCAAGAATTTATGTCGAAAAATTATATAAAAAGTTTAATAATTCATCTGAAAAAGAAAGAATTCATCTTCAGAGTTAATTAATAAATACAAATAGAGATGATTGATTGAAGGAAATAATAAAAGAATTGCAAATCTTATGCATTTACTGTTTTTAGTGTGAGAATAGTTTCTTTTCCTTAAAGGCATTGAGATTCTTTGCAGGATACATATGTAATTTATAATAAACATCAAAAAAACAATACTTACGGAGAAAGCAATGAACTTCTACGCTTGGGAAACGGTAGATTTCAGAACTTGAAAATAAGAACTATCACAATAGAACTAATCACTTAAGTAGAACTTAATTTTACAGATTTAAACACAAGTTTTCGTTTCTCTACGAGTTTATCGACTTATTCTTAATTTTCTCATTTTTCATTGATTTCTGTGATCCATTATTTTACAATATTAATCTACAGAAAGAACTTTGACATTTCTCCATGCAACCCATAAAATCAATAAAAAACAATTACTTAAATTATTTAATTCAATGCTTAAATGACATTCCTAGTGTTAATTTATTAATTTTTCTATAAGCTAGTAATTTAATTAAGTTGTCAATTTCCTAATTCTAAATGTCTATATTTTCAAATCCGTAGAATCAGTGAAGCATCGCAATGGACATTAAAACATTTTTGAAGATTTTATTGATTCCATTCGTATTTGGGATGAATATTTCATATCCTGAACTTTCGAGAGAAATTAAAAATCTGGTGGAAGCATTTAAAATCATTAGAAACGATTTAAGACAAACTTTTAATACTAAGGGATGTGCTTTGTTAACAATTGCAGATCCAGAGTATGAAGAAAATCACGAAGGAATCAAATCGAAATTAATTAAGTCCGTTATTAACTATGAAACTTTAAGATTAAGAGATATAAAGTTGCTTGCTCCAAAAACAATTAAATTTTCCATAATACTTGTGGATAATATGAAAGTATTCAGAGAATCTAAAAAGTTTATCAATTCAGAAGTACTTCAGTACTCAGGTTATCATATTGTTATAATGCTGGATGTAAATATGACCGACGTTCAAGAAATATTCACCAAATTTTGGTCCAAAAATATCTACAATGTTGTGGTTTTGATGAATATTTATGAAGAAACTTTACTGCTGACTTTTGAACCTTTCAACAACTCAGAAAACTGCCGAAAAGTCTCCGTCAAAGTTGTCAATAGTTTTCAAAATGGAAAATTTATCAACAAATTTGGTTCATGGAAAAAATTTCAAAATTTGAACCATTGTCCAATAACTGTTACAACGTGTACAGACAGCATTGCGGTTTTTAAAAAAACCTTACCTGATGGATCTTATGTTATAAATGGATATGAATATGAAATGATTCAGTTTATCGCTATACTGCTTAATTTCTCGTTAAAAATGTAATATTTAAAGAAGGACAACAGCAATGGGGCATAGTTTTTGAAAATGGAACCTGCAAACGAGGGTTTGAAGACTTAAAGAATAGAAAAACGGATATACTGTTTAGTGACTTATTTCTTGAAGAATTGCGAGTTAAATATTTTGATCCTAGTGTACCGTACCTAAATCGACAGCTGTTTTTCGCTCTTTCACCACAACCGAGGCTGAATATGTTTCAAAAGATGCTAAGTCCATTTGAATCTATAGTTTGGATATTAATCGTCTTGACTCTTTGTATTGGAATATCTACAATTTTAGTGATTAATTTGAAGTACAAGTTGATGAAGTCAATTGTCTTTTGAGAAAGTGTGGATCATCCATTGACCAATCTTTTCGCCTCTTTCATTGGTCAAGCACTGACAAAGCTACCTCGAAAAAACTTCGCAAGAATGTCGTTGATGACATTTTTGATATTTCCTTAGTCATTCGAAGTGCATACCAAGGTTCTTTGTATAAATTTCTACAATCCGATGGACGACACAAGGAACCACAAACAATTGATGAGCTTATCGATAAAAAGTACACGTTTGTTTTAGCAAAGTCTAATACAGACATCGTAAAGGATTCCCATCCAAAAATGTATAGTGCATCTTATATATTGAAAGAAAATGACGAACCAGATTTATTATTGAATAGACTTCAACGAACAGCATCTTTTGCTTCAAAGAAAGTTCCAATGAATTACAGCATGACTCAAAATAGTTTTCCTTACAAACTCTGCAAAGAGCAGTTCCTGACTTTAAATATTGTCATGTTCTACAACAAGAATTTTTTCTTAAAATCAGCAATTGACGAAGTTATTCAACAAATATCAATGCATGGATTTATGGATCATTGGATTAAAGATTATGACAAGACAGATAAATGGAAATTCATTGATAGGGAGCCATCGGTTATGACTTTTGATCATCTTACAGGATCGTTTTGCTTATTATTGATAGGTTATGTTTTGTCAGCTTTAGCATTTGTATTGGAAATATTAAACTTGAAGTGGAAACGTTTTGTGACATAGATTTTCAGAGCAGCTGTTCTCAAGCTCTACTCCACTCAAGCTATTAAAATTAATGTACAACATAAAATTGTATTCGACACTTTCGCGTGGAAGTTTATTTTCACACACTAAGTTTGTAGCTTAAAATACACAACTAAGCCCACTAGTCGACTTTGTGTATATTCCTCAACAATGCTTTCTTTCTGTATATGTTGTGGTCATACACCTTAATACAAACACAAAATCCTTGTTATTTTCGTACAAATAACAGAAAGAAAGAAAAATTCTCCTCTGCTATTACTGCTCTATGGCTGTCTTTTTCTGAATTATATCGTAATGACGTGAATGAAAAATTTGAAGGTCAAATGATTTCGTTTCGGAGCAAGTGTGAGGAGAAAAAAGGTTGCAAACTTTAATAGAACAAACTTTCAATTTCAAATTCATTCCTAATTGCCCTTGTCGCTGTCCAAGATGACATAAAATGAGATGATATTTTGCAGGCACGTGAAAATTGTAAATTGATGTATTACTCATCAGCATTTATATCTCTGGATTTTTATTGACTATTTTTAAAAGTGACCGACTGTTTTCCTTCGACTCGTCACCAGCCAAACTTATTTTTTTTCCAGATGATGTTTATAATTAAAAAAAGATGAAAAAAGGTTTATCATGGGAAAGATTTATCGGAAAGTACAAACAGTTTTTTATTTCTGTGACTTTTCATTTTTTAATTTTTTTTTTCTCTGAAAATCACACAGTGTTTAGTGGAAATGAGAGGAGGTTTTAAAAATATCTCAAATTAACAACAATAACTTATTGATTCGTAGAATTGAATTTCGTTGTAAGTTATATTTTTGCCATTTATGGATCGCAATGAAATGAATTTGCTACTTCGAGAATATTGCATGCTTACTTTTGAGAAAATTGCCTGTTTTCACGTGATTTTAATATATATTAAGGTGCCTGCACCTTATTGTTTACTTGAATTCTTATTTCTTGGCAAATGACTTGCTTATACTGCTTTAATTAAAGCCTTAAGTTAACAAATTTTTGTTTACAATAAAGTTTATCATTCATGTAAGGTCGAATGGCTTGATGGTGCATTAGTTTTAGCTTTTGTCGTCTTTAAATACCACAAATCTGACCATTAATCATAATTTAAAACTATGTTTGATAGATTGTCAATTTATTAAATAATTTATAATAGAAATAAACATCAAAGGCTAAGATAAACATGATAATGGCTTAATTAAGATGATTAAAACTCGAGTTTTCAAGGAAATAAGTTGGTACACAACAAACTCTGCCTTACAAACCGAAAGCCAAAACAATTGTTGCAACAACGTAAATTTGAGACTTCAAAATGTAACTTAGAGTCTTCTTTTGTAGCCAACAATGAGAAAAGTTGGAAATATGCTGTCAAAAGATTGGCTCAGTTCCCACTGGAAGCTATAGAATTAGGTTTGAGTCAGCATAAATCATCAATTTTATAGTCACAGCTCAACCAAGAATTTAAAGGAAATGACATCATGGAACCAACGACTCAGCATCATTTATTATAAATATAGCTTGCAATAAATTCAATCATGACAAATTCTTTGAAATAAAACTTAAAATTGTCTCACGATAAGCTTTGTTGAACAAAATAAATACAAAATAATTAAAAAAGAAAACTTTAATTGCAGTTTTATTTTCAGATTCTTACTAATAAATCTCAAAACATTTTCAAATCCTGTAAATTATGGATACTATTGAGAATACCTCATAAATACAGCTTATACAACGAATCATAAACGTCTGCTGCTTGATATACGCATACTTGAGAGTTTTTCACAAAATTATATCGCCAAATTTTTCCTTTGTTTCGCCATGAAAACATCTTGATTTATTACGTAGACTCCGCCTGAAAAATCATGATAATTTGCACTGTTCGTCCAAATAATGATATTATTTACAAATGAACTGTCAGAAATTTTTGTTTTTCTTCTCGACGAAAACAGAAAAGACCATGAAAAAAATACGATGGAAAAATTGAGTGATGTCACCTTCCATCCCACACGCCAGATGACCAAAAATGACTACAAACTTTTTAGTACGTTCAACTTCCGATCCACGCCTTACTGCTTTATTTTCATTCATTTTATTATGGATTCATTCAAAAGTGAAAAACAAGTAAGAATTTTCTCACTCATTCTCGTGCGTCATTAGTTGATGATTGGATTTAAGTTTACAGTATATACGGAATGTTTATCTTTAAGTATTATTCATTTTGGCATAGGAATGAAAAAGAAAGATATAGGGTCTATTATTAAATTATATGACGTACATTAAGTTACTAAATGGTCATAATTATTACGAACTAGTTCAATAGATGTGCTTGTGGTGTTTCTAGGAAGGATGTGGATAAAGCGCATTTCTTTGGGTTGTTGAATTGACATTTGCTGTATTTGTGAGGTACTTTAAACTAATTTATCCTGCATCTGAAGTACTCTTTTGATGGAATTCTGTAGCTTGCAATAATCAATGAGTTTCGAACTCAGTCATTCAGACAGTTAAGCAGAACTGCACCCTGCATCGTAACCGAGCCTACCTTCTCATCCTATCAATACACGCATATATGTTTAGTCATTCAAACGCAGGCAGTAGCATTTATTTGAGCCTTTGCATCCTTCTAAAATGTTGAAAGCTAATTTATTAAATGTTTGTATTGAGTTTAACCCCAAAATCCACTTCTGACGGCTTCATGTCAACCACCTTAATACAATTAAAATAAATATTGACTTATAAAATTCATCATTCACGAATTAATCCTTCATGTCCCCTGCCAGACGAAAAGATTATTTAAACCAAATTGAACCTTGATAAAATACTCAAAAATTTCTTTAATATTATTTGACTGCCTCCTTGTTCCGTCTCAATCATTTGACAATTTTTATAGCCAACTTTTACAACAATCTCTATACTCCACTACCCACGCGTACCTTTCAATCCATTCATTTTCATCTTGTCACTCCCTAGCTAGAAAAATGAAGAAAACTCAAGCAAATTTGTCACGTTTTAGGACTTGATCGCCTTGATCATTAAAAATAATGATACAAAGGAAACAGTTTTTGTTGACGATCGATTAACTCTGCTTCAGACAGGTGCACTTGATTTTAATTTTGCCGCATGTGTGGCTTTAATTTTCCTATTTTTATGTTAATAAATTTCAAAATTTGACATTGTGGATAATTGAAAGCTTTATTTGTGTATAAATTGGAATTGAATTTGCGCAGTCCATATCATTTAATAACAACTGCGTCATATGCTCTCGTTCTCCACTAATGGTCCTGAAATGTTTACAAAATGACCAGAAAAAAAGGAAAACTGCTTAGATTTTGACTCCCACGTGCTTCTTTACTGAGTGATATCAAGTCTGAATTGTTAATTTGAGTGTCTTAGTTCCTTATAAACAAATGAACATCGTGTTGTCTATTGCGATGCTTAATAATTCATTGTTTACCTTAAATCTGTAACACAGTCATTATTTAACGTAGATTCAAGGCTGATAATCACCCAAATAAATTTAATTGACATTGACGGATGCAGATTGTCAAACAATAAACGAAAAATACTTGCAATTTGCAACCTACCTAATGTCTGTGCAAAAGATGGCCATAAGCAGGTGCTATAGCATGTAATGAAAATCATTCATTTTCGAGGAATTAAAATTTGCTTAAAGATTTTCCAATCGTAAATAAAAAACACATGTCACATCACATTAATCACATCTGAAACGTCATTATCGCTGAGAACAAAAAAGAATATCAAGGACGTGAGACTATCCGTGATCTCAATATATTTTGTGAAAATATCGGAACTTTACTTCTTTTTCTCTAATAAAAAAGGCTTAAAATTTTGTGAAAAATTCACATTCAATGATGAAAAAAGTAAAAATAAACTCACATCTCATTTTTTGTTTGTTTATTTATGACTAATGTCTTTATGCTACATGTTATATGTGTCAAAAAATATTAATACTTGTCTATTTAAGGTATAAAATTTTTTTTTATTCAATTGTAAAAATTTTCGACCGCATTTTTTAAGATTAAAGATTTTTTTTTGTTAAGCTTCCTTGAATTGTCAGCAAAGTTTTGATTAATTTCAAGTTCTTTACACTTTTTATAGCTATAAATACAATTTTTCCATATAAAAAAACAGATCAGTTTTATTTTTCAGGTCAATTATTTTTCTACAATAATTAAATTACACACATTCCATGATAAAGAAAGGAAGAAGCTACTTCAGAAGGTATTTCGAGTGCACATGCCTTAAGTATTTGAAGATAGTTCAGGAATTTTTGAAATTATTCGAAACATCTGATTTTATTTTCAATGTAAGAATGTTAATTACTGTCGGTTTTGTTCTACATACATTCAGGATGGGATTTTTGATTTGAGGATATTATTCAGTTTTTTGATTTTTGTGGCTTGATGCTTGTGGGAAATCTGTTAGAATTTCAATTGTTTATGGGTTTTTTAAGTCTTTATCGAGTTAAATTGCTTTCTTTTTTTATGCCGCATTAGGTTTGGTCCTTAGTGGCTTCATAAGTTTTTAAATGATACCAGATAGATGTGATTTATTGGAATAATCAAACAGATCACTTCAGGATTCGAACCACTTAAATGCTATCATTTTTAATTAAAGCTTTAGGAGCTTGTGGTAAGTTTTCCATGAAAACCAGAGTCAGTTGCGTACAAACAATATTTGGATAGCATGCAGTATACTTCTGAGATCTCTGAGACCCTCTTAGTACCCATAAAAAGTCCTAAAATTAATGAAATTAGATTTTTATTACTAATTTGAATTTTTAATGCCCTCGAATTGCTTTACGGTTTAAAAATCAATTTCGAGTATATTTGAACAGTAAACATCAAAAAGTTGTAGAATAAAATAATATAATTTAGCTGCCTGATTAACTTAAAACATCAAAATTGCACCTCCCAACTATCCTCAACATCCTCAAGTTGTTTACCATAAATGCCAATTTGAAAAATTTGTCAAAACGATCAGAGAGTCAATAAGAATATTAATCAAATGTATTTGAAGCAAAGCTCCACCTTTTACAAAAACCAATTCATTCGATCTGATAGAGGAATTCTGTTTTAGTAATGAAAGGAATGTCAAACAAATAGATTAAAGAAAATATGATTGCAGAAACAATTTTTTTGGCACAATACTGACGAGAAAGAAAATTAGCCACATTATGCACGAAAATCTTGATGATGATCGTCGTGTATGTGCGGTGACACTTGAAATCAATGAGATCAACTTTAATGGTTAATCATGTGCCAAAATACATTTTTTATTCTATTTTTGTGAGCTAATTACGAAAAGAAATTTTGATGATTTTTACAGGTGGTCCTTAAGATTGTGAAAATTTCTGACTCGAATATCAAGATATAAATTTTGAAAATTATACACCGCCATCTGCATGTGAGGAACTAAAGCATAAAAAAATAATAAAAATAAAAAATCTTAAAAAGAAATAAAACTTTTATTTTTTTACTAAAGATTGCCTAATTTTATTAGGTATCAATTCTTTCATCTGGCTATGTTCAAAAAATAATTATTATTAATCAAAAGGAAGAAATACTGAACAAAAGAATATGTTAAACTTAAATAAATTTCTGTATGAGCTTTAAAAATGATCTGTTGATTGCTTATATCTGTCATTAAGTATTTCCTTGATTTCATCAAGAAATCAATCAGTTTGAGACATAAAAACATTCAACATTTAAACTCTTTTCTTTCTTAACTTCAATTTAAATACAAAAATTTGGAAATTCGAATTTTTTTTTCTATAAATTGTTTTTTGTTCAAGGAAAATTCTTTAATCTCTTGTTGTTGGTGCTTGATATATTTTGTGACAGTTTTACTTTTAAATATTGAGTTTCAAATTGACAAATCTCATGTTTTGGCAATTTAAAGGTCAGCATTTAAATAAAATTTCTGTGTTGATTGCAGAAAATTGTTTGTTTGGATTTGCAAGATTTAGATTGAATTTCTGAAGTTGAGCTTCAATTAAAGAACATTTCTTTTCAAAAGAAAATCTTGAAGATCTAATCATATTTTCTTCTAAACGAATTCAACTTCCTTACGATTAATTTTAAGTTTTTATTGATAAACTTAATGTTGGATATTCTTAGATATTTTCTTTTTTTTTCATTAGCAGAGCCTTTGAAGATTGATTTCATTAAACGTTTCTGACTATGCTTTTGATAAAATTAGATCACTAGTATTTGCAAAGATAGTAAGTTGCTCAAATGCTTTATATCTTAACTGACACAAAAATCTCAAAATTCAGAAAATTATATCAAAAAAGTTGCTTTTAAAATCTTAGATTTTACTTTCAAGAATTGATAATATTCAAACAAATCAAAGAATTTTCCTTAAACTCAATTCATTTAACAATAAAAAATTAATTATTAATAATAAAAAAATACACAATTCAACAACTAAAATCTAAATGTACATCATCAATCAAATAAAATTAAATATTCACCATTGATGACGTATAAGGAATTTGATTTCTTTAAAAAATTCATTTTAAACTAAATTTAAATTAAACCCATCACCATCGTTAGAAAACTCATAGAGATATATTTTTTGTATATAAAAAAAAAATAAAATAAAATAAATTAAAAATTACTTTCGTTTCTTGTTTCTATCTTTTTTCTCTCACTGTCAAAATGAATAATATTTACATTGTAAAGAACATAAAGTGCATAAATCACTTCTTTTTTTATCCGCAAAAGTCGCCAAATTATATGCTAAAATCACTTGCACGTAATTCATTAATTACATTTTAATTTTTTTTTTAATATGCTCACTTACTTAGTCTTAAATGTCTAGTTAATTTTCATCTATAATTAAAGGCACAATTTTTAAAAAAGAATTTGTTTTTACTCAAAATTTTCAATGATTTGAAAAAAATCAAGGAACTTCAACATCCCTTCCAAATTTGTCTAATTATTTGCTTCATTAGTTCAATTTATTTATACTTTCAGTTTTAAGGCTTTTTAAATGTTTTTCTCTTTATGTCCATAGCTTTTTTAAGAAAACATAAAAATAAAATAAAATGAGGAAAAAAATTAAATTTTCTGCCAATTTTTTTTGAATTTTTAAAAATAATTCTCTTAATTCACAGATTACAATAGGAAGCATTAATGTTGCAAAAAAAAAAATAAATGTCGAATTAAAGTTAAAGATTGCACAAAGTTAAGGGGCGATTAGGTATGAAAAATTTATCTTTGGAAATTAAGGAATATTGAATTAATGTTTGAAATTCGATCTTTAATTTCAAAGCAATTCTTCAATTTTCATTAATCCAATCCCTTAATTTCCTTACGAAAAATTTCCATCTTAAGAAATAGTAAAAGCATAACTTTTTGTCCATATAAAAATTCGAGAATAAATAAGTAAATAAGAAATGTTGGCTTGAACTTTGTTCATGATTTTTTTTTTCTCTTTTTTTTTGTTGTCTTCCTTAAATATTACTTTGCGATAGTAAAAAAGTCTATAAGTCCTTAAATGTCTACTTAGTTTAATAATGTGTTGCAGATGATTGTGATTTAATCTTTCAAGTTTACCATTCCATGTATTAGCTTTGATCATTCTGTCTGTTAATGCGTATGGGATGAAAAAATTATGCTCTTATACTTTTTTTGTCTGTACTTTTTTTTTCTTTATAAAAAGAAGTCTGAAGATCACATTTGAGTCGTTTTTTGTTTGTATTTTACTTTATATTAGCAAATTTCAGTCTGCGTTTGCTGGTTTTTATTTGTTTTGAACATTTTTTACTAATGTTCTCCACGTAATAATTCCATAAGTAAATTAAATGATGGCTCTTCGTCACCTTCCTTAGGTCTTATAGTTAACATCTCTTTGCCAACCTTTAAAGAAATTTAAAATAATTTTATTTTGTATTGGGTTTGCAGTTTGTTTATTGTATGACAAGATAATTACTTGACATGTCCTTTGAAGTTCTGGAATTCGCAACAATAACTCGCCAAATTTTGCTGGTGCATCTGGATAATGACCTGAAATCAGACAAATTAGGTTAAATAATTTTCAGATATCGATTTTCCACAAAACCTATATAGGTCTAAGCATATGTCTTATTCTAGATCGAAGCCCATTAAAAAATGTAGCTTAAAGTTCTTGCAAATCAGTAGACTGTTCAAAATGTCTTTTTCAAACAACGGTACAATTAAAACTGAGAATTCAAACAATTTGACAAAATTTTAATAATCACTGCAATCATATTTGATTTGAAAGGAATAATACTGATGGCTTGTTCTAGATTAAAACAGCTCCAATTATCTAGGGCTAGCTATTTAGGGTATATTACCTAGACAAGGTACTCCCAGATAAAAACCAAGACAAAAACACAGCTTAATCTAAACATTCTAATCTTTTAAACTCACCTAAAGTGTAAGCTTGAAGTGCTTGCAATGCCTTCTCTTGACTTGCTCTAACTTTTTCAGGTTCTTTAAGTTCAGCAGTATCTGTAACATAGCAAGTCAATAAGTGTCATTTGATCTAATCGATATTCCATAAAACACCATACCTGAGGAGAGTAATACAATAACTTTCATTGCCACGTACTCATACTTGTCAACTTTCAAGCGCCTTAAGTGATCCGTTAAGTTGAGCATACGCTCTATACAAATCTGCATGAATAAAATAAAAATTTTTTTATATGAGAAACATGAATGGAATGCAAATATTTCAAGGGCATCCATAACTCACATTCAGTCCACTAGCTTTAGCTTGAGCTAATGTAATTGACTTTCCCTGCGAGACCTTTATCTCACCAGTCGTTGAAATAGAACGAAAGCAACAAGAAAATAGTAGAAGTTCACACCATGAGTTAATTAATAAGCATATTTGATCGTCAATCTGCAAAAAAATACAAACATAAATATTCAGGTCGAATTAGTCATGGTCTAAGCATTTCCTATCGCAATATAACACTTACCGATATATTCTTAAAAAGTGGCAATGACTTGCACCATTTAACAATCTTATACAGTCTATGATCGGCAATTTTACATAATGTGGCAATCATATCGGGACTTGAATTATCATTTGTAACACCTGCACTTGCCAAAAATGGATTATTCTTAATTGCATCTGATGATGTCGTGGCTCCTTGTTCGTTTGCGATTTGTTGATTAAGTCTTAAAAGTTCATTCTCATTATATTGCCATAAAAATTCAACATCCATAATTTCTTGTAAAAGTACTGGAACTCCAGGTGGTTTCATATCATTGCATCCATTTAAAAGCTTACTACCGCCCTCATAATTCTCCATTTTCATACCATTAGTCTTATAATGTCCATCAATAATAAGTGATGATCCTTGATGAGGAAGCGACGATACTGGAAGTGTATATGAGCATTGATAGGTAGATCGACCACCTCGTGTTCTATCCTCACGAATTGCTTCTAATTTCATACCTTTCTGAAGACATTTTTCAAATCTACATGCTGGACATTTCTTTCTTGTTGCAATCGTCACTGGACATGCAGCACCGCGTAAGCAAACGTAATTCTTTCGATTCTGTACGGTTCGCTTGAAGAATCCTTTACATGACTCACACGAGAAAATGCCATAATGGAAACCAGATATTTTATCTGAACATATTGGACACGGACTATTTATAAGCTGTTGACGAGAAATGCCAGCCGTTGTCGGTAAGCCAGCTTCTTGCTGATCACTTACATTATTATTATTGATATTATTATTTTCCTCACTCGTTGCCAATCTAAAATTGTTCTGCTGTTGCTCACCATCAACAATAATTGATCGATAGAGCATGGAATGCTGTAATGTGCCGTTGTATTGTTGCTGCTGTGAAGTCGATGGTGCATAAATTGAATGACGTCCTTGAATGGGTGAATGAGTTGGACTGTTGAATTCTGAACTATATGAATAACATGAACTGTGCGATGCATCACTATTGTTTCGACTTAGCGATGGCGTATAAGGTGCATGTCTTGACGTTAACGGTGATTGACTGGGCGAACTTTGTGTATAGATTGAATGAATTGCTGAATCAGGACTTGGATTCGCTGGCAAAAGTGACTGTTGTTTTGAGCGTACGAGTAATGGACTATTGTTAATTAATCCTTCCGGAAAACTAGTCGTTGTTGATGACTGCGAGCCTGGCTCATATTTCAAATTAACAATTTCTGGAAACTTTTTGGTCGTTCCAAAAGCTGGCACTTTGAGTTGCTGTATAGTACTGGGATGATTATTATTTGTTAATATTTCTATCGGTGTTATTACTTCTGGCTTAATAACTGTCTTATCCTCACAATTCATTTGTATCGGACTCAACTTTTCGACTTCCATCATTTCCTCATTCTCCGATAATCCACCTTCCCATGACATTGGTCGCTGTCCATTATTTTTGGAAGTTTGCGTAATACATGCACTTTTCTCAATACTCGACAACTCCAATTCCGAATCGGAATTATCTGACGCTTCCTCAATTTTTGGCACAGTAACTCTAACTTTACTGCATCCATCACTCATGACTGTCGATGATTCATCCATGATTTGATGGATTCTTGATGGATCACAATTGATACTAGTCACTGTTATATTTGCATTTGACATACTTTAATTCTTGTTGTGATTTTTATTATATATTTTTTTATCGAACCTTATTTTTTTTCACTTATCGCAAACTTTTTCTTCTTCTTATTTCTCTGAATTATTATTTTTGCGTTAATAAAATAAAATATTATTTTTTTTACTTCACTTCTCTCTTTTTTTATCGATACAAATTATGCGGTCTGATAAGAAACTTTTCTATCCATACGAAATCTAAAATAAATATAAAGTGTAAAAAAATTAATAATAAGTTGTGACTGTAAATTTGCAATAATCGCCGAATGAACAGCACATTACACCTCATTTGAGGTGTACCCCTGAGACAGTCGACGACGAGAAGAGAAAGAGTGAGAGGAAAATCTCATAAGTATTACTTCCGTTAGTTAAATGAATATGCAACAGCAAGAACATCAAGATATAAAAAAAATTTTTATTCTTCAACAGAACAAGCGAGTGGCATCAAAAACTCAAGAACGTCGTCAATAGTTTGTAGTTGTGTGTGTGTATCGAGAACACATCGAGCCGAAATGGAATGGAGCAGAGTGAATATGTAGTTGTGTATTTGTGCAATTCGTCTGTGTCTGTATTTGAAGCAAGGTCAGAAAGCAAGGTCGAATTTTGTTGTCTTTTTTTTCCTCTTAACGCTTTTGCACCTTACTTCGGCTACATCGCAAAATATAAACTTATAAATTAAGAACGAATGTTTTTAATTGTTTTCATTGAATTAGGAATTATGGAAAATTAATTAGCGAATTTTATATTTTATTGTTATTTATCTACCACTACACCGTTCGTTCTCCTGCTTCATTTACTTATTTTTATTATTATTTTCTTATAGTGAACCTCATTCGCCGATCACAACCATAGCTGAGAATATGAGAAGTAAAGAAGTATGAAAAGAGACCTTTATGCCTGTATATTTATTATATTTCTTTCGTGTGTAATAAAAAAAATTTGTTTCTTTTTTCCCGAATAAAACTGTTCTTTCAAGTTTGCTTTTGCTTGCTTACACACTCACTCACTTCTTCTCGAGCCCATTTCTTTCTTTACTCTTTTTTTATATTTTTTTTCTTTAACTTCTTGAGGATGGAAAGAAAATTACTGCTGATGCTGCTGCTGTTGCGTCTTAAATGTCTCTTCTTTTCGTTTTTCAAGTTCTTTCTTATTTTCTCTTCGTCATTCCATTCATGTTCAATTGCAAAAAAAATTGATACCGGAAGCGAAAATGCATTTTTTCGGGTATTATTATTATTAAGCATCCATTCATCGCACATAACGGTGAATAATGCTCTAAAAATGTTATTGCATACAGCAATATTGTTGTTGCTGTTTTTAGTATTCAATATATAAGTTAAACGGCTGGTCAGCGTGTGTTTCTTTTTCTCTTCGTGATTTCATGTTTCGCGTATTTTTTTTTTATTTTTTTTTCTACCTCTTGAAGGCCACGAATTGAAACACATTTCACTAAATCATGAAAAAAAAACCAACCGAACAACTTTATTTCAACTGGAGCTTTTCGCTGCACTAATTCATTCGACTTGTTGCAAATTCCTTTATTTGATTCATGAATGAATTTACAATTCCATCTCATGTATTTAAAAGTGATCATCATTTCACTTACTTGGACACTTTTTTTTATTATTTGTGAAAAAAGAAGTCAATGAACTCAAATGTCTTAAACTTCAGGTAGGAAATTAATTTTTATCGCTGCTCATTCTTATTCTCCTCGCGTCCTTCCGATATTTTTCATTTCCGTATGTCTCATTATATTCTTTTTCGTACCATTTTTAAGCACAAAAACAAAGGATAATTGAGAAAATTAATTTTTTTATTTACGATACAGAGCGAACGAGTTTTATTTTACATCTTTTCACTGTTTCAATGTTCATGTGGACTATATGGATGTCACATGAGAATATCCAACTTGAAGTATTATCCAATTTTTAAGGGTTGCACAAACTTTCCTATAACTTCCTTAAATTGATAATTTTCTGGATCTTTTGTCAGGAAATCGATTCAATTTTACAATTTCCAGCGATCTATATAAAAACATGTCTCAAAATCAAGCAGATTTTATCAATTTCGCAAATCACTTCCAATGACAGTTACTCAAAATATTCAAATAAGCATTCCAACGTCTGTGATTTCAAGTTTCTTAACTTCCATTCATTTTCACACAGATCTGACATAAACAAAACATCCCAAATATAAAACATAAACCAAACTTTATTAAAAATGTTGACCCTAGACACAGATAATTCATGCAGAATTTGTATGACTGAAATTACAATGCTAATAAGTATCTATTCTCAACACAATGATCGTCAAATTAGTGAGATAATCATGGAAATTAGTGGCATTAAAATTGAGGAAACTGATTTACTTTCTAAGAAAATATGTGAAGATTGTAGGACGAAAGTAATTGACTTTGGTGCATTTAGACAGCTTTGTATCGATACGGATGATACTGTACGATACAATATATTATTAGCTGAACAAACAGAATCACTTGTTGAAGTTGATGATCAAGTAATAGAAGAAAACAACATTACAGAATGTGAGGAAGAATGTTATATAGAAGAGGATATTGATATTAGTCAAGAAGCACATTCTGAGTATATGGAAGCGCTGGTTAATAATGATGAAGAATCAATTGATAATAAAATTACGGAAGCAATTGTGTTAGAAGAAAGTTCGCAGGACATAAATAGTAAAGAAAATGAGATTGTTATTGAAAGGATCGACAGCAAGAGCAATATTCGAGCTAATTTTGTATTCGAATCATCTGATGAACTTACTCAAAAAATGAAGGAAGCTCACTATGCTAAAGAGCAACTTAAAAAGCATAAATGCCCATTTTGTACAAAAAGCTTCTTGTTTCCTTCAAAGGGTGAGCTTGATGTTTTATAAAATTTCACTAGACTAACAGAAATTCACAATAATTTTAGTAACACGACATGTAGCAGCAGTCCATAAAAATCACAATGAGCCAAAGAAGAACATCAAGAAAAATCATTCATGTCCAATTTGTGGAAAGGCATTTGTAAGTCAATTTAAAGTAAGAAGACATATGGTTGTGCACGATACAGAACTCAAAACAGGACTACAAAAGAACTGGTCACGAAACTACTTCCTTTGTGAAACTTGTAATAGAAAATTTCATACACAAACAACTTTTGATAGACATATTTTGATCTGTGACTTGTTGCTGAAATCAACAATTGGACATCCTGAAAATTATCAGTTTTCTTGTGTCATTTGTTCAGAATTATTTTTAGATCATGAAGAGATGGTTGATCACATGAAAAATCTTCATGATCAACATTCAGATCACAGCTGTCAAATTTGTGCATTTACTGGAAGTTTACCTGAAATTATAAAGCATGGACGATATCATGAAGAAAATGTCACTTACCGTTGCTGTATTTGCGAGAAAATATTTCCGAATGGCGATGAGATTATTGTTCATTTATTAAGGCATGCTGAGTATAAACCGTTTGAATGCAATCAACCAGGATGCAACAAAACATTTTTCGATAAATATAAAATGAAGCAACATATCTTAACCCACGATCCTAATGCTAAAAAGAATTACATATGTGAGTTTTGTCAGCGCTCGTTTGCTCAACTTGATTACCTTAATTGCCATATAAGAAGGAAGCATAGTTCAGTAAAGCCATATTCCTGTTCTTATTGTCCGAAACAATTTGCATTTCTTCATGATTTAAATCTTCATTCTGCGAATCATACTGGAAATAAAAAGCATATCTGTCAAGTTTGTGATACATCATTTACCAAAGCATGGTCTTTAAAACAGCACATGTCACTTCATGAAGTCGGAGCGACTCCACAAAAATGTAAAAAGTGTGATTTTACAGCAATGTCGAAAAGTAATCTAAAGGATCACTATGTGACTCATCTTGAAATGGAATCTCAAGTCAGCTACTTATGTGGTGAATGTAATGTAGAATGCAGAACTGAGGATGCACTGAAAAATCATTTGGAAGAAGCCCACAGTCAATTTTCATTTATTGACTCTAACAACTCAGACTACAGCTTAGAAATTCCATAAATATATGTTAACGAACCTTTTTTTGAAAAAAATAGGAAATGTAAATAAATTTTCCAAAAAACAAAAATTTCCATGACTTAATATGTGTGAAAATTTTCCATTTTCCAGTAGCATAAAAGTTTGTTGAAGCTTTATACATTTTTCGTAGTGTAAATTAATTATTTTAAAAATATTTTAACGATGTTGCAAGCTTATGATGGTGATTTTTATTTAGAAGAAGACACAATGTAAGCAAAATTTATATCCAATAAACTAAGGAGTCATAAGTTGCATGGATAAAAAAATATATTTCAATCTGTCAAATTTTTTTATCGATTTTTTTGTAAAATTTCATTATTCGTCGTCTTTTGTATAATTTTGAAAGCTTGACTTTGTCATGTGGACGAGTTTTTCATTTGAAAGGATTGCTTTTATAAATGAAGTTCGATATTATGACTGGGAAGATAAAAAGTAAAAGCAAGCAATTTGTGTTATAAAGTGACGCAAAAAAAATAAAATTTCCATTCCAGATGTTCTCAACCTTTACTGGAAAAATTTTATTGGAAGAAAGTTTGAGAATATCTGGTGGAACCAACTGTTGATTCATTTATTTCTCTCCATTCTTTGCTTTTGTCTGCTTTCATTGGATTTTCTATTCTCTTCTTGTTATCATTATTCTGTCCTGTGTTTTGATTTTTCTTCAATTAACTATTTTTTTTGATTAAATTCATTTTATTATGATATAAGGAAATTACTCGATGATAGGAACGAGACAGACTCTAATGACAATAAAAGTAGTGAGATAAAAGACCAAAATACACCAATGAAATTTCCTGGAAAGGCTGTATTAATAGAAAATAAAGTTGTTGAGGAAAAACCATTTAAATCCAATGACGAATTTCCTGAAGCTGAATTATACTTCGGTGGTGAACAAGAAACAGATAATGAGCATCATCAAAGAATGATTCGAATTAGTCAGCAAGAAGAAATGGCAAGATTGTAAGTCAAGAAAGTATTTTGGCGAAAAAAAAGTGTTTAATTGAATTTTACGCATGATGCAATCACCTACTTATCATCTCATCACTTTATGTTGCTTTTGACAACCTTTTTGTGGTTTTTTGGCTTCCTACTCTCCAAGCTAGCTTTCCTCTTTTGTTGCTAAGATTTAATGTTGCCATTTCATATGTTGGTTTTATGCTATTAGCTAAATGTCTAAGTTCCTTGATTACTTTCTTAACTTTTGGTCTTCTGTGTTATTTTAGGGGTATGACCGTCTCGTCTGGACATGTCGTAATAAAGAAAGACAACTCCAATATGATTGGTAAGGAACTTAATCACTTCTACTAACCAGAATTTCTTAATCAATGTTTTAATTTTATTCCACAGGTGTGTCAATTGGAGGTGGAGGTCCATACTGCCCATGTCTATATGTTGTTCAAATATTCGACAATACACCGGTCTCACGAGAAGGAACATTACAAAGTGGCGATGAGTTACTAGGCGTGAATGGAACAAGTGTTAAAGGAAAAACGAAAGTTGAAGTCGCAAAAATGATTCAGTCAGCAGAGCATGAAGTAACGATTCATTACAACAAGTTACATGCTGATAATCAACAAGGTGAATCATTGGATATAGCATTGAAGAAAATTAAGCATCGATTAGTTGAGAATATGAGTGCAAAGACTGCAGATGCACTTGGACTAAGCCGAGCTATTTTATGTAATGATTCACTTGTGAAACGACTTCAAGAGCTTGAAGGAACTGAAGTTATGTACAGAGGACTTGTCGATTTCTGCAAAAGAGTATTGAAAGCATACTTTAATGTTTTTCAAGCTATGAATGCATTTGGAACTGAATTCTGTCAAATGTCAATTCGAGAACCTCAACCAACAGCATCAGAAGCATACAGAGCTTTTGGAGAAATGCATAGAAGTCTTGAAAAGGAAGGAATTAAAATGATTAAGGCATTGAAACCAGTTATTGCAAATTTCGGTACCTATCTCCATAAAGCCATTCCAGATACTAAATTGACTGTTAGAAAATACGCCGATAGTAAATTTGCTTATCTCTCATATTGCTTAAAAGTAAAGGAAATGGATGACGAAGAACAAAGTTATAATGCAATACAGGAACCACTGTATAGAGTTGAAACTGGAAATTATGAATATCGATTGGTTCTACGATGTCGTCAAGATGCACGAGCCAAATTTGCTAAATTAAGAAATGACGTTCTTGAAAAAATTGAATTGCTTGAAGCAAAGCATGCACAGAACTTGGCAGACAACTTAAAAATGCTTCTTGATGGATTGCTTAAATTCACACAAGACTCAATTAATAAATTCGAAACTACTAAAGGACTTTTTCCAATTGAAGTATCACTTAAGTCTGATGCATTCGAGTACCAATCTACTAAAACATTTAGTGCTGATGGACAGGAAGAAGAGGAAGTAGCTCAAGCTGAAGAGGCTAAAGAAGCAAAATCAGCTACAAAATCAAAACAAGACTTGCTTTCAAATGGATCGAATGCTAATAAAGTTCCGAGCCAAGATTTACTAGATTTAATGATGCCTAGTACAAATACTGAAGAAAAAAAGGAGAATGGACATACCACAGAAAAGATTCAACAAGGGTCAATGTCTTCAAATTTAGACCTTTTATCGAAAGAACTTATAATGCCGAACAATAATTTAAATTCGCTTTTGCCTGATTTTCAAAATATTAACATTACCGATTCATCAAAAACTGCTCAGGATCTTCTAGCCGAACTAGGATTAGACGAAATCGATCTCTCTGTTGGCGTTAATAATAATGCTGCTTCATTCAATTCTATTGACGACTTATTGCATTAAAATAAAAAGTATTTATTATTCAAAATAAAGAGAAGATTCGTATACAGTACTTAATTTAATGCTTGAATTATGTTTTATGGTCTTGATTCCTTGTGTTTAGATAATTCTCTGTGTTTTTTATGTTCCTTACTCTCTGATTTGATTTTTTTAATGTTTGATTCCTTAACATACTTTTTCTTTTCTTCACTATATTGCTTCTTTATGGTTGTTGATTCCGTTTCCCTTTGAGTCCTCCAATTCTCTGACTTTTTTTTGTATTCCTTAACTTCAGATTTATACGTAGGAGTTGTAGATTTCTCATGTTGCTTTTCTTCTATTAACTGATGTTTCCTAGTTGTTGATTCCAACTCTGTTTGATACTTCGATTCCGGTTGTGACTTTTTCTTAGATTCTTCAAATTTTGCCACAGATTTTGTTGTTGTTGGGTTCTCTTCAGATTCGGAACTATAGTCCTTTTCTTGGTACGATGTAGTGCTTGACTTCTCAAACTTCTGAACTTCTGAAGTCTCCACTGACTTTTGATCATCCTCGTTCTCTTCGTTTTCTGTATCATTGTTTTCATCAACTCCACTATTTCCTTCATACTCAGCTTTATTACCATCATTGTTCCCAAACAAACCACCAAGACCAAATGGATCATCGTCCTCTGGTGATTCATCATCATTTGACTCATTTTTATTTGTTTCAACATCTTCTTTTGTGCTTTCTTGCTCTGAACTTTGCGTTTCAGTTGGTCTAGTCATGATGATTGATTCTGAGCTACTTTCATCAATTGTTGTCTCATCTGTTGTGCTTGTTGAACTTTCAAAGCTTGAATCTTCATGGTTTGCAATAGTTGATGCCTCTGTTTGGTTTTCATATCCAATTGTTGTTGAATTGAGGATTGATAAAGAAGGTTTAAAAGTCTCAATTTGAATTGTGGTTTCAGTTGGTTCTTGAGAAGAAATGTTAATTGATTTAGTAGATTCTTTGACTTTTTCAGTTATGCTTATACTTTTTGTCGTAATCACTTCTATTTGGTCTTCAAATTTCACATCGGATTTAATAGAAGCTTTTGTAGAATTCTCGATATTCTCAGTAGTTTTGACAGTTTCGAAACCATAAGTAGATGTTTCTGTATGACTGGTTTCTGTCATATTTTTAACGTTTTCATTATTTACAGTAGTTGTAGCTTTAGTTGTCTTTGCGGAAACTGTTGAAACGATATTCTGTCCCTTTTCATTTTCAATAAATCTTCTAATGATATCGAAACTGCCACCTTGTAAAATTTTTGGAGATGAATCAATATTTACTGAACTAGCCACTTTTTGTCCTGTTGTAGGCTTCTGTTCAGTCACAATTGTAACTAATTTATCAAAGAATTTCTTAATACTTTCAGAAATGTCATCACCAACATATTCTTCAACAACTTTGCCATTTTTTATCCAAGCAATTGTTGGATATCGATCGACTCTAAAGTTCAAACAAGTTGGACGAAAAACTGAGCATTCAATTTTTCCCACGTATACAATATTTGTGTTATTCCAATCTTGAATTTTCATTCGAAAACTTTGCCAGCTATTTTGAAATCCAAAGTTTGGATCTTCCCTAAAACATAACTCTTAAGATATTTAAAAATTAAGCAATAAGATACACAGTCACTTACAGAGAATAAAACAATATAAATGCGTTTTCAGATTTTTTGATCATCTTAACTGAATCATCTTCAAAGTCATTCGTTTTATCAAATTGTTCATAGTCGTAGAACAAGATCGCTAAAACCATTAGTCCAACAGACAATGCTGTTATAAAGCACAAAGCTAGCCACACAAAAGTTTTAGTTCTCATTACTAATTTGAAGTACTTTAAATTTTATCAAGCTATTATTTCGACGATCGATGAGCAACTGAAAAGATGTTGATCATGAATATTGAGATCATTTTTATGTTGATTCAATTGTTTGAGTATCGATTGCGATTGTTGTGTATGAGTAATAGAAAATATGAAGTTCAATTTTCCTTTGACTAATTTGTTAAATGAAGCAATGATGAGTCAGAGATGTTGAGTCTTTCTCATGTCAAAGAATAGAATTTACTAGAACTGTTGAATTGACTTAACCTTCTTAGTTTGATAAAGTTACCTATTAAAGACAACTGCCACACTTCAATTTACTTAAAGGTAATTAAAGTTCTACTTAGCATCAACTCTAGATGCTCCAAACTTTACCTAATACATGTTCTATTACAGAATACAGTCATAAGCTAGGTTTGAAAAATTACAAATCAAATTCAATCATCGACAATAATTTTTATTCATATCTTTTAATTGACAATTGAGCAAATTCAATCATATCAGCTGCACTTCTGTCTCCTTCATACTTGTCAACTTTTTGACTGCTACTTGGTGGATTATAGATGAAGCGCATTCTTGGATATCTCAATGCATCAAATCGATCACAATGTTTTCGATGACGTGTACAATCGATTGAAGCTACATAAATATTTGGATTGTTCTTGAAATGATCCATCACTGTTACCCATTCCTCCATCGTTTCTTTGCAATATGGACAATAAATCACCTGAAAATAAAAGCATTGAATAAGAATCTAGGGTTTTCAAAAGATTCAAATCTGTTACCTTAAAAAGAACAAACATTTTAGCACCAGGTTGATCAAATTTCTGAATCAATTCATCTTCTCTCAAGACATCAGCAATTGTTGAATCGAGAAAAGAAGTTACCGATTTCCAGTTGTTATGACTACCGAAAAATTTAAGCTGGATCTTGTTTTTAATTTGATTTACTTGACATAAAACCTCTTCTTTGTGGCAGTCAACTATTCCAAATTTTAAATGCTTGCTTGTATCATCAGCCTGTGACACTTGACCGACTTCATCCCATAATTCTAAGAATTTATTGTGACTCCTGTTTGAAAATTTCAAAATTTTACTAGTTTTGGAATGCTTTTAAGAAGTACAAAAAGTGACTTACTCTGGATCTTCAATGAAAAGTACAAAATAATCATGTTCAGTTGTTGCTTGAGTAAAATTTTCACTCGTGAGGATGAAAGAATTCTTAGCATTAATGTAAAATGCTGAAGTTAAAGGAACCAGTAAAATTAGAAGAGAGAAACAAAAGAAACGAGCCATGCTGATGATCAAGCTTAAAAACAGTTGTTGCTTGTTTGACAAAAGAGATGATACTGAAACTAAAGGATGAACACAAGAAAGATAATACAGATGAATTAAAGCAAATATGAAACAATTATTGTAGTGTTCTGACGTAGAATATAGTGACGTCTATTCACCTTACAGTTGGCCATACTGCGTATTATGAAAAGTCAACTAAGTTAGATATTAAAGAATTGATCACAAACAACTTGGACCATCAAAATCTGCAAGTTTAAGAAATAAATCACATAAAAATCTTCATTAAATCCACAAATAAACTTTATTAAATTTCAATGCACATCAATCTAAATTTTATTGCCACTTCCTTTTAGCCTTTCGTCTGTATTCTTCTTCCTCATATTCTTTGTCCTTAATGAAGTCAATCAATCGTCTCACACCATAATCATCATCAAATATAGCATAAACTCGATTGTTTATGAAGACCACGAACTCTGGAAAATATTCGATTCCAACATACCAGCATGTGTTTGGATCTTTACGGCAATTGTAGTCGACTACTTTGCAGACACCTTGCAATGCTTTTGCAACCTTATTCCAACCTGATTCGAATGCTATACATGCTGGACATCTAAAAATAAATTGAACAGTTTGTGATCTTAAGAAGCAGCTTGCAAATTAAGTGCAACCTTATTTTTTGTTAATTCATTACATCCTTAGTTATACTTTTAAATATCATACATGAAAAGCACCACAAAACTTTAAACCTACTTACGATGGCAAATAGAACCGCGTGAAAATTATTTCAGTACGATTTTTCTCCAAAAGATCATAAAACTCATTAATACTTGGTCTCAATATATAATCTGTAGAAAGTTCAGTTGATGAAGATGATGAAATGTCTTTGGCAAAGGATGCTGAAAGAAGAACAATGAGAAACGCTAGTGACAACATGATTGTCGAGCACTAAAAAACAGACGTAAAAACAAACTGAACACTTCGTATATAATTCATTGAATATTTATTTTAAAATAAAACTCATATGAGCTTTTAAAGCTCACGTAAAAGCTCATATCAAAAGCTTTACTGAGCACCATCTTTTAATTTTCTTTTCTCAATAAACCTTTTGACATAATTGATGATGTCATTACTCGTTCGAGGTCCAATATATCTCTCAAACCTTTTTCCATCTCGAAACATAATCAACGTCGGATATTCTCGTACAGCAAACTTCTGACAAAGTGGCTTGAATGGTCCACAATCAATTTCAGCTATTAAAACGTCTGATTGATCTTGATACTTCTCACCGACAAGTTCCCAAATGTCATAAATCTTCTTGCTGAATGCACACCTAAGGATGGAATTTAGAGTGAAAAGAATTTAAGGAATCAGCATGTCTTACCACTCAGTAAAGAACTTTACAAAAACATATCTATTATTTTTAAATATCTGCTTGTAATTCTGACTAGTCAGTTGCGTTGAGACATATTCTCCACTTTCAGAACTGGCTACTTTTGCACCAATTACTGAAATCTTCAAGAGCAAGCAAAAAAGACAGAAAAATGATAATTTCAAACACGTCATTCCTCAACAATAAATTCAACGCAATTAAAACAGAAACAGACGAAAGAAGTGGAACATGTGTTTTGGAATTGAGATGTTTTTTTTAAGGCTAACATGAAGTAAAATGACTTTAATTGCTTAATAGTTTTTATGAGACGAAACTTGTTGTTTTGTGGATCTTAAAATCTTTTAAGAAATTTTAAGGTTAAATTATTTAAATCCAAAATTGAAGAAGCTACCAAAAAAATCAATCTTGAATATTCAACATGTTTTCTTTTGTTTTCATCAATTCTGAAGAAAATGATCATCCTTCAAACAGCTCGCAATCATCTCCTTGTGTGCATATTTAAACAAGTGTAGCTATAAAAAATAAAAAAACTTTTAATTCTGTAGTCAAATTTATTATTGTTTAAATTCTCGTTTAGGTGCTTTAACGGTAATTAATACCCCACGTAATCAATCCAAACGACGCATACCGAACCTCAACTAGAGCGTAGTTGATTTAGAATCGTAACAAGAAATTTTTTAAAAATTCTAGATTTCTTAAATTATTGATGATTGTGTCTTCGTAGGTCAGTGACTTTACAGCTTTATTATAATCAAAATTAAGCAGTTTAATGGTTTTGGATCTTGTATCTTAATGTGTCAGTCATAATTCTGGAAAATTCGAATTCAATTAAAGTCAAGATTTATTTTGCAGCACATGACTTCAATTGAAAGTTTCAGACTCCAATCATTCCTCAGTTTGCAATTTCAGAGGTCTGATTAGTGCTGTTTAACAGTTTAAAGTATTTTTAATAAGTAATAAGAACCTAAAATTCAATTATTTCATTTAACAATCACTCAACTTAATTCGGTTAAGTGTTATAACTTTCCTCAGCACCGAAATTTCAGTGGCCTTCTTTTTAATAAAATGTAATAATCCAACTAATGTAATTAAAAAAAGGAATCATATTTTAACTGAGCATGGTTTGAAATTTATGACTTTATTAAAATTAATATTAAACTTCTAAAATTCATTACATTTATCAATGAAATGCTTAAAGAAGTCATGATTTCTTTCGCTTGAATGAACTCGTCCAGTTTCAGTAATTGGATGAACTTTGATAGAATCTCCTTTTCTTTTAATGCAGAAGGTACGTGGCAAGTGATATTTCATTGACATTTTTAATGATTGATCATCAACATGATCAAGGAAATTGTTGAATAATCCTTGACATGTTCCATCAGCAAATTTGTTACAATTAAGATAATGATATTCCCAATTTCCGTTACCGCCGTTAGCGTGGAAGCCATCAATGACGGTGAACTTGCTTCTCCATGATTTCTTGCACCTATTTTTTTTTTATTTTAATTTTCAATTAATAATAAGACAGCACAAATATTAAGTTTATACATACCAGGATAATCCGAATGTTACAATTCTAGATCCATCCTTCTTCCAGGCATCATATCCTTGTCCAGTTGTTTCGCATTCACTATAATAGTCATACTCATCTGAGCTGACAAATGCCACGCACGAAAAAAGTGCGAGAACTATGAAGTACTTCATGGTTATTATCACTGAAAATCTTTATTAAAAGTGATGATCAAAGCATTAAAGTTACTTAAATTTATACAGTTTTTTTTGGCCTTTTGGAGACATCTGAATGTGAAAATTCGATAACAGATGACAGTTTTTACATAAAAGGAATTTTTAAAATGAAAGTTAATGACACATTCCGTTATTAAAGTTGGAAAATAAAGGCTTAATCTTATTAAGTAGTTTATTGGCAACACTCAGAAATGTCGTCAAGGATATGATTCAGATCCCACCATAAATCTATAAGTTACAGTTCAACGAGTAGTTATCAATATTAACGTATGAAAAACTAAGGTGTTTTGTATGAAAATTAAAGAAGTTCTAAAATTAAAATCTTCAGGAACTTAAAAAACTGCTATCTTAAACATTTCTGTTTTCATTTAAAGAAAGTTAAGTTAAGGAAATTCACGAAAAAAAATTATAAAAGCAATAAGCAATCGAATGCAGACAATCAGTATATTATCGTGTGTTGTTAAGTGAATATCAAAAATATAAGTATAGTGAAAGGAAAATTGAAAATGATCCGAATTGTAAGTGGAACTAGCTTTAATAGATTTTGTGAATTATAAAATAATTTATTTTCACATTCCAGAAACTGCTTTTTATTGTGAGCACATGCCTGTCAAGTGTTTTGTCATTCATCGACAGCAGGAGTAATGGATTCAATTTTAATGAGTTAGTGAATCCAACAGAATCTTATGTAGGACCAAGTTCATATGTAACATCACAGCAATCAAAAAGTCATGATTATCCAGCATTTGGAAATTTCGGTGACTTAATAAATTTAAAGGAACCACAAATAACTTCATCATATTCTTCATACGGACCGTCAGATGGAAGTGATTTTTCAAGTACAAGCTACGTTAATTATCCATCATCGAGCAATACAGTCCAAGAACCTCCAAAATCTCAACCAATTAGTTCTAGTTATTCTGCAGTTATATCTCATGATTCTCAACAACTTCCCCCAAATTTAAATTCATTTTATGATTCATCTTCACAGCAGATTCCACCTGAATTCAAAGCCTTATTTGAATCCATGTCCGCACAATTACGTTCTGCTCAAAATCAAATATCTGCACAAAATCAAATCTCTGCACAAAATCAGAATTCAGCTCAAATTTCAGCATCAAATCAAGAAGTCCCAATTAGTCAGCACATAGAAGTCACAAGACCTGTTGTTGTTCCTGTTTACAAGAAATTTCCTTATCCCGTCTCTAAGAATTTCCCAGTTGCAATTCCTCATCCAGTTTTAGTTCCTGTGCCTGCACCATATCCAGGTTTGTCAAGGATCTAGATTCACGGTTAAAAATTGAATATATTCTTAAATATCTTAAATAATTTTCAGTCAATGTCCTCATAGCAGAACCATACGCAGTTCCAGTTCTTAAAGAAATAAAGGTTCCTGTCGAAAGAGAAGTCATGTATCCAGTTGATAAAAATGTCCCTGTTGAAGTAGAAAAACCAATACAATTTTACGTGGAAAAGCATTATCCAGTGTATATTAATAGACCATATCCAGTAAAGGTAAGTAACACTAACATCAAAAGTGATGAAAAATTTGAATTAATTTTATGAATTCAACCTTTTTAGATCCCAATAGTAAAGACAGTAATCCACAAATCCCCGAAAAAATGGTCAAGAGAAGAAGAAGAAGCAGATGCAATAAAAAGAATCGGAAATTTCAACCAAAAATTCAAATCAATCAAATACAGAATGTACAAGAAATCATTAGCGCCTAATAAGTCACTTAGCAAAACGAAAGTGAATTAAAGTGCTTAACAGCACCTATTTAAAGAGTTCATTATTTATTATATTAAAAATAAATCTTTTCGTGTAAGCTTCCACGTGCATCGCACTTGTTATGAAACAACTGGCAATTATTTATGTTTCTTTGCCTGTTTTGATAAGACTGTTTAATTGTGCATGAAAAGAATTTGAAATAAAAGTAAAATGAAATTTTTTTAATAATTTTTGATCATTTTTTATTTCTGCTTTTATTTTGTAATTGCGTGCTGATAATTGCTGAATATAGTCTGTAAATTAATTACATTCTATTTTCAATCGTTTTCCGATTTAACACATTTTACCAAGTTGGCTGATTTTTCGCTGTGTTTTATATTTAATGGGTTAATGATTAGTGCCATTGGCATTAAATGAATCAATATAGAGCATGACTTGGCTAGCAGAACTAACATCCTGCCAAACTTAACCTCTTATTAAGTATCACTTTTTTTAATTCATGAATTCAGCACAATTTCATATCCAACAGGTGGCTTAATATGAACCTATTTAGAACTTTCTGTTCCTTAGAAACAGTTTAACCGGTTGCTTGCCGTAATGTTGCTAAGCAACGTAGAGTTTGAATACAAAAGAGCTCATCACAAAAATGGCAACGATTCTTTTTGATTCTTCTAAAAATGAGCTATTTAAACTCACTGATAACTACAAAACAGTGAATCGGAAGCTTAAGGCAAACTACAAGACAGAAACGTAAGCAACAACCATCAAAAATTATCATAAAATCTTCACAAAAAAAAAATCATTAAATTCTTTCAGCAACAAAAATGAAATCAAGTCAGACGTCCTAAAGTCGATAAATCTCTTCATCTTAGCTGGTCCGCAACAAAAATTCAATGAAGTTGAGTTGGAAGCTATGAAAGAATTTGTCAATAATGGAGGTTCCTTGATGGTCATGCTGGCTGAAAATGGTGAAAATTACTTCGACACAAACATTAATTTTTTATTGGAAGAGTTCGGAATGAACATAAACTCAGATTCTGTTGTTCGTCAGCATTACTATAAATATTTTCATCCAAAAGAAGCTGTTTTGAATGGATGCATAGTCTGTGAGAATATGAACAATGAATTGCTTAAAACTATTAAGAAAAGTCAGAATAATCAAAGTTTATTGGATGAAAAGTATGACATTGAAGTCATCTATCCATTTGGAGCTACAATTAATGTCATTAATCCATCGAATGTCCTCATTACAACATCAACAATTGCATATCCATTTAATCGTCCTGTTTGTGGATACTACACAAATGATAAAGGAGGTCAAATCCTTGCCATTGGATCGGGACATTTGTTTACTGATAAATATATTGTTAATGAGCATAACATGTATGTCTGGGACTATTTTATCACACTTATGGTCGAAAAATCCATCAGTTATAAAGCAAAAGATTTTAATGATGTAGAGATTCATGACTACACAACAGTTCCAGATATCGTTTACATGTCAGAGCAGCCAAAAATCTGTCTTGTTGAATCCTTTGATTGTGACATTCCTGCTGATTTTAAGAAGCTTTTTGACATGACTTTATATTCAATTAATAATGATCGATTGCATGAAGTCGTTACGATGTATGAGAAACTGTACATTGAGTATGAGCCATTGAAAATCATCAAGCCACAATTTGAATTGCCTTTACCGCCTACACAGCTAGCTGTTTTTCCTCCAATTTTCAGTGACTTGCCACCACCTCCAATTGAGCTTTTTGACCTTGACGAAGCTTTTAGTTCTGAAAAGTCTCAAATCACTCAATTGACTAATAAATGCTTTCAAACTTCTGATACAAAAGGATTTCGAGATATCGATCAGAAGGAACTGGAATATTTCATTCGTGAATGTGGACGCATCTTGAACATCTCACATGATGATCAAATGCCAGCAAAGGAAATTTTACATACAATTTCTATTAAAATTGCAAATTATAAGAAGCTTGATAAAGATTAATAAAGATTTTTTATGCACTGGATGTACATGATGGGGGTAAAATCCCCGAAAGATATTAATTCTACGATCCTGCGGAATAATAACCCCGAAAATCGCAAATTTTTTGATGTTCCCTGCGAGATAATATTCCCACTTAGAAAAACACGTGGAATTATTATCCTTCCGGGAAGATAATAATCCCACCTATAATTACAAGTGGGATTATTATCTTTACGGAACACGATTAAAATTATGGATTAAATTAAATCCAAAAACTTATATGTCATAGTGGATAATTATTTCACTTGTATTAATAAGTGGATTTATTATCTAATAAGATTTTCATCCAAAAAAATCCTTCTTATTAATTTGTCAATTTCATTATTCCAAAAACTTAAATAAGAAGAAAACTGAAGAAAACATAAATATTGGTTGAATGTTTGCTTTTTAAAAATATATTATTCCAAATTGTTTAAAAAATAAAATCAAGGTGGGTTCAAGTGGGTTCAACTGATCTAAAGATGATAGCTATTCGATATAAAATTATGTTCGAGATTCGCTCGAATAGTTAAAGGAAATGTAGCTGTAATTCCATTTTGTTTCGCTTCATTCATTCGACTGTTTAAAAATCACAATTTTGTTCAAATGTTTATGAGTAGATATGTTATTTGAAATTCGGAGTCGAATCATCCATTTCAAACGAAATGGACATGAAATTGGTGTTAACCTGTTCATATAAACAGACAATTTTTTTTTGTTAAAAAATCTCGATAAACATTTTTAAATTTCTCAGTCTAAGAAAAATAGGTTATTTATCATGGTTCCATAATCCAAAGTCAATGAGTTATGTTTAAAAAAAATGTTTTCATTAATTTCGTATTACTGTGAATGATAAATAAGCTAGAACTTTCGGAGATAATAACGACAATTAATTCTTTAGAAACGATCTATTAAAATGTTGAAAATTCAACAAAATTAAGTGAAAAATTAAAAATTTATGTTTTAAAATTTTGTATTTTTTCACGGATTAGGACAGCAAAAGCTTTTTAATAACTCGATGACACATGATATTTTTTAAAAGAATTGAAATATTTAATTATTTAATGACTTAAATCATACAGAAAAACTACTTAATTGTAGATTTTTGTCTGTTTTACAACTCAGCAGTTGTTATTTAATACTAATTTCAACAGTTTTCTTTAATCTTCAATCCTTCGAATGATAAAATGGAAAATTCCGATTTCTGTCATCGATTTATTTACATCGATTAGAAATATTAAATCAGGACCTCTAATGGGCAAAATAATAAATTTTCGATTATTTCCTGAAATTTTTTAAAAGTCATTCAAAGAATTGTAAATTGCCCTTAACAAAATTAGATTTATAAATCTAATCAAAATATTTGTTTACACATTTTGGTAAGAAAAATGCAAAGATTTAAACATAAAATGAACGCAAAATTAAAATTCTGTTGCCCAAATTCTTATTAAATTAACTAGAATTTTAAAATGATGGCAGTTCTGATGCTGTTTAACCGTGTCTACAAGCCCCAACGAGGTTTCCAATGGTTTTAGACCATTTAAGAGATTTGATTGTTTATAATCTCAAAATTTCGAAATTATTCTGATTATTCAGGTATACAGAGTTACTTAAAGGGGCCATTCACTTATTACGTAACGCTTTTAGGGGGGGAGGGGGGTCTAAGATTTTGTTACGGTTCAAACAAGGAAATTTTTTTTTCATACAAATTTTGTTACGAGGGGGGGGGGGGGTCTAAAAAGTCATTTTTTCGCGTTACGTAATAAGTGAACAGCCCCAAACAAACTGATGGCCACAAATTTATTGAAAATGATCAGCAAATAATTAAAGTGATTCGAACAAAATTCAAACGTAATATTTTGTAAGTTCTTTCAAACTTGAGCTCTTTTAAAGAAAAGTTTAAAATAAAACCTGTCAGAACTAGTATATCGGGCAGAAACCCAATGCGGATTATATTCACACCGTACCATCAAAAGTCTTATGGATAGACCTAGATTTTCCCAGCATTAGTATGAAGGTATGAAGCAAGATAAGTCAACTGAGCTTCGCTCAGCATAAGTTTGAAGGTCTAAAGCTTAACGAACATTCTTTAAAAGTTTTTAAAAAAAATTTTTCATGCAAAGTTGAATTTTATAAAAATCACAGTCAACTTTTGTTTTAAAAAATTCGTAAGAAAGGAAAGTTTTTTGCTTTTTCTGAAGCAACGGCTGTTCCTACCTTGCCCAAAAACAATACAGCTCTTCTATAGAGCAGCACGAATCAAATGTAAAAAACTAGAAGTCTCTACGATGTCTCGTTATTGAGATTTCTTGCTGATTAGCTTGCTTGTTTGCTTATTTGCTTACAGAAAGCGTATTTTGCGATTTTCTCAGCAATGCCACAACCAATTTGAAATCTGTTTTTTGAAAATGATGTAAAATTTCAGGCACAAACTTATCTTCTTGACCTTTTATAACCAATTTTGCTTCGTTTTCTCAAAAAATGCGAAAAACTGATTTTTCAATCTGAGCAAAACCAATAGATTCACACGTGAAAACGGTGTGAATATAAAAAAATTTTATATCCTAAAATAGATTTTATATTCACACCGTATTCACTTTATTTTTTTTTCAGCTTGAAAAACAGTTTTTCGCATTTTGAGGAAAAAAAGCAAATGGGCAAAAACAGAATTTAAATTGGCTGTAGCATTGATGGGAAAATCGCATGATACGTAAGCAAACAAGCATCAAGGCAAGTAAATCAGCAGAAATCTCAATAACGAGGCATCTTAGAGACTTCTAATTATTGCATTTTGATTCTTGCTGCCTTAAAAAGGATAAGGCTTTATTTTTTTATTGGGTAAGGTAGAAACAAACATTGCTTCTAAAAAAGCAAAAAACCCTGCATCCTCTATCCTGCATCACGTGAACTCAAATTTTGCCAATGACAAAAATGATAAAAACGTGATTTATTAGTTCCGCACGTTTTAAATTTTGAAAGACTTCATTTCAAAACTATTTGCAAAAACAAAAAATTGAAAATTTTGTGTGAATATGATTTCTTGAGTGAATAGATCTTTGATACATTAAACATCTAGGCTCTAGGTTTTTAGAAAATTTACAAAAGGCATAAAAAAACCAAGTTTTCAACATAAACATTCAACCAATATTTATGTTTTATTCTTATTTGAGTTTTTGGAATAATGAAATTGACAAATTAATAAGTGGGATTGTTTTTGGATGAAAATCCTATTAGATAATAAATCCACTTATTAATACAAGTGGAATTATTATCCACTATGACAATTAAATTTTTGGATGCAATTTAATCCATAATTTTAATCGTGTTCCATAAATATAATAATACCACTTAGAAATGTAAGTGAAATTATTATTTACCTGGGAGATATACCCCCCATCGATGTACATCACAACTTCTGAAATCAATAATTGGCAAGCAACAACGCATAACTGTCGAAATAAATTTAAATTAGGCTCCGCCCCAATATATATTTGAGGGCATGAAACTTCCATAAACAAAAGCCAGTTAAAGTTCCATCAAATCAAATTTTGCACGCATTTCTAAAAAATTATTAATTTTCAATGAATTGGATTGAAGTTAATAGATAAACATGCAACGAAGAGCTCGTATAAAGGCTGTTGCAAACTTGTCAACCGTAAGGAGAGGCACAAGCAAGAACAATACAGAAAATTCACAAGAATGTGAAAATTCGAAAAAAGATGTAAAAGATCTTTTAAATGACATCCAAGAGAAGACATCCAGTGAAAATGAACAAATTGTTACAGTAACAGTTAACAAGGAAGCTGTTAATCAAGAAACATTGATTAATTCAGTCAACAAAGTTGATGACGTAAACACGAGTAATAATTTGCTGGATAAGTTGAATGAAAAATCCAGCAATTCTGATCATAATGACAAAGTAGCAATACAAGATGACATTCCAGTCAGTAAGGAAGTTGAAAAGGATGCCGAGAAGAAAAAGGAATCATTTAAAACACCTGTACAATCAACGCCACGTGCAGAAATTGCATCTACATCAAGTAATAAATTTAGAAAGCCGAAAATAGCACCAAGACTGAACATTGCACGAGCAGTATCAAAAGTTCAGGTAAGGTACTGTTATTTTGAATAAATAAAATTTATATCTAAAGTCTGTTGACGTTTCAGGGTGTGAATGATGAAAAGCCAAAAGAAAATGATGTAATTATTGAAGCACCGATTTTAAGTCCAGTTCATATTGAAAAAGAACCAGAGTCACCAATAAATGTATTTTCTCCACCAAGTACACCATTTTCACCACCTCCAAATAGGCAACGACCAGAAACACCAAGAGAAATATTAGATTCTCCTGGATTTATAATTAATCATAATTTACATCATCCACCAACTCCACAATCACCTTTTTATCCAGCAGCACATTCACGAATGCGAACTGAATCATTGTGTTCAATTAAATCAGCAACAGTAGCTAATTTACAGCCCAGAAAGAAGGTTCGTACTGAAGATCAGAAAATTCTTGATAATAAACGAGAATCTCGAGAACGATTAAGCAATAAGCAGATAGAAAAGTCACAGCTAAGGATGTTTGATATGATTTATTATAATCCAACAACAAATCCAATGAAACCTAGAGCAACGCCTACAACAAAGGAAAGATCACCTAAAAAGATTGACTTAACTATGGATTTGCCACCTTTTACGCCACCTCCAATAGAAGCATCAAGTGCCATTGCTGTACCTCAATTGAAATTAAATGCAGACGGTGAATTGGTACTCGATGAAGCATCTTTAGTTGTTGAAAATGAGGAACAGAAGAAAAATAGAATTTTATTAGCAAACACAAATGTTGTCTATCATGATGAACTATCAGGAACTTACGGCTATTACAAGAGACAACAACGCACCAAGGAATGGCCACAAGAAGAAACAATAAAATTCTACAGATGCCTCAATACAGTCGGTACAGATTTTTCACTTATGCTTAATCTCTTTCCAAATCGTTCTCGTCGTGATCTCAAATTAAAGTTTAAAAAGGAAGAAAAGAACAATCCAAATTTAGTCGATAAAGCCTTATTAAATCACAATACGTTTGATATTGAGGAGCTGCAACGTGAGCTCGATGAAGAAAATGAAATAAGACGAAAGGAGGCAGAAAGTAAGTCTAGTGAAGTTAAGGAATTAGTTAAACGTAAAATTCTCAAGAAGCAGGAAGCTAAAAATAAGTCACGTCAACAAGACAAGGCTAAAATTGAGAAAATTCTTAGTGATGGTGATCTCGTACTCAATTCTGTTGATAATTCGACACAGGAGCTAAAGGAAAATATGAAAAAATCTGACGGAGCTGTAAAACCTAAACGAGCACCAAAAAGAAAGAATGTCAAATCTGAACAGTCTATGGAATTTAAGAAAATCATGTTGCATGCTAAAATCAATGAATCAATATCTGTTAATGTGTTAAAGACACAAGTTTTGGTGCCAGAAACATCAGTTATTCCAAAGCAACAACCAGAACCGAAAACAGCAATTGTATATGAGGAAGTAACGGCAGCAAGTATCAAAATTAAGGAATCAACACGTTCAATAGTTCCTTACGAACCAAATGTTACACTTAATAGTAATATTGACTCAATACAGCCAGAAACTTCAACATTATCAATAGTCGCAAAGATTGAAAAGGAACCATCAACGATTATTGACAAGCTTATATTCGAATTGCCTAAAGAGGCTCAGCTAGACATTGTTAATCAAGACACGATGCTCAGTAAAACTGGTCGCTTTATTTCTGATTTAATAACTGCTTCATATCGTGATACTCAAGAAAATGAAAATGATTATTTGATGGAGGAAGAAGTGGAACCAATGGATACTTATGACTGCAGTCCATCAAATGTCAAAAAAGAACAAACTATGGAAAAAAACTTAATAATACCGATTCCAATAAATGAAGATTTAGTAGATGTACAGCCAACAACTTCATCTATAGAATCTATAGAATCAAATAACATTGAGGAACAATCAGACATTACTATCGAACCATCTTATAATCAGTCAGAGATATCAGATAATCCATCGATATTGTCAGCAGAGTCATCGTATTCTACAGAAATTTCTTATGATCCGTCAATAATTTCAGTCAAATCGTCATTTACTCCTCCGGTCATGTTCCCAAAACCTTCTTATAGTCCAGCAGTGATATCTGTGCAACCATCATACAATTTGTCATTAATATCAGTTGAATCGTCATTTGATTTACCAAGTATATCCACTGCATCATCGAGTTTGTCAGCACAACCATCTTATCTATCAAGCATGAATACAGAAGCTTCATTGTCTGTCCAAGAATCAAATGATCAAACAGTGTCTGCACAATTCACGGACAATTCAGTCATTTGTATGGAACCAGAACCTGATAGAATTTGTATTGAGGACACAGAACCAATGACAGATGAGCCTTTAGATGATGAAAGTTTCTTAAACTCGCTGGATCTTGAAAGATTGGTGATTGTTGTTAAGCAGATTAATGGAAAAGACTTTTATGACATTCACGAGACCGATGGAGACATGCAGAATCTTTCAGATAAGCCACTAAACTTGCCACGGCATATTGTTGATTTAATAGTTGATGCTATGACACAAGATGATTAAAATGTGCATTTGACATTAAAAATTTTTTTTGTCTATTATGTAATTAAATGCTTTGATTTTAGCAGTAAGGAAAATAAAAAACTTTTTATTTGTTAATCGATAACGGAAGTGACCATTTCTAGTTCTTTCTGTTATTTGTTATATTAAAATTTGTTTCAGATATCCAAGAACTTGAAGGCATCATCGCATAGTTGGCGATTCCACACATATTTTCTTGGTTTCTAGCAATTCGTCCATATCCTTAAAAAATGCAGCATAAGTATTTGAAGTACTTAAATAAATCATCACTAAAATCTTACCATATTCACCCCAATCCAATCCCCAGCTATTTTTGATGATCCAGTAATCACCACCATCAGGATCAGTTCCGTAGCCAACAACAGTTATTGCATGATTGTAGCTGTAATTATTAATGTTCAGAATGATTTAAGACATTAATTTAAGATTTACAGACCTGTCCATATCATTTGGACAGTCAGATTCAGAGAAAACACCGCCTGCATACTGTGTGAAGCTATCAGAAGCATAAATGACTACCACAATCGGTCCATAATTGTAAACCAAATGTTTTAAATATTCTTCATCTCCACTCACTTCCTCTGCGTGTATTAGAAAGTAAGATTAAACATCCTTTGTGCTGAATATTAATTGATCTTACCTTCATAAGTGTTATTAATTATCAGAACCTTTCCAAAGCGCTTTGCAAAGCAGTCTGATTGATAAGCTACGTATGGGTAGGAACGTTCAGTTGTTAATCCATTTTCGATGATGTAATCGAAGCTAGAATGTATATTAATTAAGTTTTAAGTCAAGATGAAATTAACGAAAATTTAGAATTCAAAAATTAACGAAAAATCAAAATTCAAATTCAAGTTCAAAATTTGAACTTGGAAAACTTTTTGGCTCGAATAAATTTTGAAAATGGTTTACTGGATGTTCATATAACATCCATTCGATTTAAACAGCATATATGCCTACCCATCCGTTGGCCATCCTGAAAAAATACAATAATAATTATTCAAATCATTTTCAATGTATCATCATGATAAACTCTTTACCTCCATCACACCCTCCGTCCGCAATATTACAGTCAAGAATCTCTTGTTCAGATAAATTAGCTTCCGTATCACCTCTAATAACAATCATAAGATATTCCAGAACAGCAAGTGGCTATAAAATAGGGTTCGCTAAATTGACATGCGCATGCATTCACATGCAAAAACATGCGCATGTATGCGCATGCATGCGCACGTAACATGCGAATGTATATCTTATTTGGACACTTTTGATTGATTTGACACCAAATCTTGCGAGTAGGAGGTCAAATTAGAGGTGTTCTGATTTCGGAACCTGTCTTTTTAAGCAGTTTTAAAGCAAATTTCTACATTTTTATCATATTTTTCATGAAATTTTTGATAAATATGATGAAAGAAATAAAATTAAATAAAACAATTATTTTTTGTAAAATTTGTTTTAAAAAATTTACATGCAGTACATGTGCATGCATGCGCATGGGAAATTTGCATGTATGCGCATGCATGCTCATGTAAGCGAACCTTACTGTAAAATGACACAAATTAAATTTCAGAACATTTTCATAAAAGTCAGAAGACTTACTGCATATATCCAACAAGCACTAGAATCAAGCGGTGAATAAATATGAAAAACAAGAATTTAAATTAATGTAAATTTAGTCCGGAAACATGAAAAAGTCAACATGAATTACCCGCAGTCAGCTACAAGAAGAAACAATCGTGTTTTTTTTAAAACATTTCAAATTATTCAACATGTTCTTACCTTGATCTCTTATTGGCGAGTTCCAGTCAGTCCAATTTGCACTGTCAGGTACTTCAGGCGTTTCTGTATCAGACATCCTAGCTGATAATGACTTTCCTGCCTTCTTCTTCATCGCTTTATTCTTATTATTCGGACTACTTGCTTTTTTGGATGCCCCCATTCGATTCTTGACCTTCCAATCATGACTTTTATCAGAATAGGCATTAGTGCCACGTCTGTAAGTTTTATTCCTTTGTTGGTTGTGCTTTTCATCATTCTTACTGTTTTGTTCATATGCTTTTCTTGCTTCTGCTTCCTCTTGTGCTGATCGATATGCCTTGCCATGTTTTTTCTGGAAGTTTTTGAAATACAGGAATAATTTTTGGATCTTTATCTTTTTCTAATATTTGTCTAGTAAATGTCTGTTTATAGAAACGATTAATCGTATCTTAATGTCGGTTAGTTGTTTCTATACTTGAAAGTTTACTAGACTAATCATGCTGTCAACTAAGAGATTATTACGTCACACATAAGAGTCCTTAAGCAAGCTTGTAGCAAGGCTGAATTCATATAGACTAGCCTAAAGCACTCTTACAACCGACTTATAATTTCTCTGGTTACTAGAGAGTGTATGTGACGTGTTCTAATGACTGTGCCGCTATCCAATTAATCAACAACTGTCACTTATATCCAACAACTTTACCTTAAATTCTGCAAATTTGTCTTTTGCTGCTGCAGACTTTGTAGGCTTAGGAATGTGGTTGCCTGCTCCATTTGGTGGTTTTTTGGTTACTTCCGATTTTTTTACTGATGCTTTTGTGCCCTGTCCATCAGTTGATATGAAGCAGACACAGACAACCACAAGAATTAGAATCAATTTTAAGTCACCTCTCATCTTTGAAGTGATAAGCTTAACTGATGATTTTCAGACCGTGAAAATGACTAAAGGATTAATATTTTATTGGGGGTTTAACGGAAGTATGTTAACATGTTATTTGGATTGTTAATTTTTATATGCTAAATTATAAAACGTGTGCTTTTTGTGGACATGGTAAGTTTGCGAATACTAATGCTTAATTTGAGTTGGCAACAGTACGAAAATCTGAAAAAAATCCACAATTAAGCAAGGAACAATATCCACAATAAAATTAAAATTTTTAAAATTGCTTTGAATTTATTTAAGTCATAATTTTACAACAGATTTGCTTCCAAACTCTAAACTATAGACCATTAAATTTAGGAACATGAACCAATAGACTTGACATCCAAATATAAAATGTGGATATCCTAATAATTTAATTACAGTACATATTAAAATTTTTAATACTTTTGATTTTTAAAACAATTTAAACACATTTTTTTTTTTACTTTTTAAAATCACTTACATCATAGCTTAAATCTACAGCCACATTATCTATGCCTAATTGGAATGGCTTACCGTCATCAAACATTTGAAAAATTGAATTAATATTGCCTGCATATTGACTCTGTTCACTTGTTGACTGGATTGACACTTCATTGACAATATTCAGCTTATCCTCACTCTTCATATGTGCCAAGTGTGGTAAATGTGGATTGGATATAGCTCGGCGAATCGAACTTTCAATTCTTGATGATGCATCCATAACCATATTATGTGCTATTGTTGAAATTTTACGTTCTGGATGTGTAGCTGTTGAAGTTTTTCTAAATATTCCAGACTTATTCTTTGGAATTTGATCGGCAATTTCTTGAATTTTCATATCACTAAAGTATTGGGTAATAAACGATGCTGCAAGTCCTAATGTTACAGTAAGTAAAGTTCCAATCATTGAATACCACATGTAGCTGACTTTATAAATTGATGTGTACCATGCATCATCATTAATACTTTCAATTATTGTTGGTACTGCTGATAATGTAGAATTAACAATGCAGCTACATTGATCGACAGACGTTTCGAAAAATTCAGTTTCTTCTCCATAAGCTAATGCAAAGATGCCTAATGTAACAACTAGTAATGTTGATAAAAGTCCACCGTAAAGTGCGCCTTTAAGATTTGCTTGTTTGAAGAATATTCCTAGTGAGAACAGTCCCAAAGCTATACCGCCTGAAATTAAAACATTAATGAATTAGTTTTTCATTCGACTCAAAGTCCGTAGTTTAAACTTACCAATTAATCCATTTAATGTTAATGTAGCTTGAAGAATTCCTCTGCCTTCAACGACAAATATCAATGCAAAGGACAAAATTCCATATCCAAAATTCATCCATTTAGCATATCTTGTTGCATCTTGTGGTGATATCTTAACATTTAAGCCAGACACACAAAGATCTTCCAAAGTTACAGCCGAAAGTGAACTCAAACATGCTGCAACAGTTCCAAGAGATGCAGCAAATACTCCAGCAACAAAGATGCCCGAGAATGCTGTAAAATGTCCAAATGTATCCATTATATAAAATGGCATTAATTGATCAATTCCGCTAATCATTCCAGCTTTCAATGGATCACAATTTTCATAATGTGCAAACATTATCCAACCGGTGTAAAAGTTGATGAAAAAGAGCGATGCTAAACCAAAAACGGAGAGAGCCAAGGCAATTTTTGCTTTTGTAAGACTTCTTAGTGACATTGCTTTTTGAACTGTTGCTTGATTTACACAAAGTAATGATGACCAATAGAAGAATCCACCAATTACGACGGAAAAGACTGTGTGACGTTTCGTTGGATTTGTATCGAAGCTGTTATCAAAATAGAAATAAATAAATTGATAGATAATTTGCTTAAAATGCAGATTTAAGTCCATTTTAAAATTACAAATTTAGCCGCTTTTTAAAATTCAAAAAATTCCTAAAGTTCAAATTTTGAACTATAAAAATTCAAATTCAGAATAACTGTTGAAATTGAAAAAGAGATAGAAAATAAATCAATTCAATACTCACTCAAGGAAATCCATTCTTCCGTGCTCGTAATTGATTTTAAAGATTGCAGCGATTCCACCTTCTTGCATATAAGTTCCGAGTACGAGAACCAAGAGAAGTGAAACTAACAGTACACACGTTTGAAATGTGTCAGCAATAACAACAGCCTTTAAGCCGCCTTGACTCGAGTAGAAGATGCAGACAATATAAATTAAGACGATAGCTAAACGCGTATCAAGACCAGTTGTTTTTGATATTGTAATGGCTGGAGCCAAAACAGAAACTGATGTGTAGAAGCACATTTGTAAGATGTAAAGGATGGCACCAAAAACTCTCAGTTCTTTTCCAAAACGAACGCCTAGATACTCATAGCATGATGTTAATTTCATCGTGTCGTAAATTGGATAGAAAACTTTAAGTGCCACAGGAATGACTAAAATCATAGCAAAGACGATTAAAGCATACTGAGATCCATTAAAATACATTTCTGCAGGGTTTCCAAGAAGTTCAATGGCCGTGATGAAGCTTGTTGTTAAGCTCAATGTTACTGGAAAGATTGACATTCCACTGCCAAGCATAAAGTCACTCGATGATGATGATTCTGCCGGTTTATCAAAATATCCATAAAATACACCGATTCCAAGTGAGATAACCAGCATAGCAGCTACAATTGAATAGTCATATGGTGTAAATTGAGTAGCTTTATGATCCTCGCATTGCATCTTGTCTTCATCATTTTCTTCGTACTTTATGAAATATTCTATGCCCAATGGATCAAAACTTCCATCAATCAAGTGAATGTCAAGCGGTGCTTTCATCGTTGTCTCAGCATCAACACATGAGATGAAGCAGATTGTTGATAAAAATGCGATAATCATAATCATCTTCATTATTATTTACGATTCTGGATGCTTTTTTTTTGTGAGCTTTTTAAAAATGTTTTTTTTTTTCTTTATTCCTTATCGGGAAACTTTTTGATAAAATTTTTTCAATATTTTATTTTTTTTTCACTTTTAATCTCTGTCTATGTCCCACTTGTGATTTTATTTCGGTATTTTCTTTGAGTGGGGCGAGTAGTTTACATCGCAATTTGATTAATCAATCAAAATTAAATCAAACTCTTGCGGCAATAAATTTTTATTTAAGTTTGCTTGTTTAGCAATTGAACTTAGCGCCTGGAATTAAAGAGAGAAATTTTATTAGAAATAATGTCTATTTACTTTTATTAATTAAAGACAATTGCTGTTGATATGTGGAAATTAATGAGTAATTTTTGTAGAAATTTAACGTATTTTATGTTTTTGAACTTTAACGGTCTTTTGAAATTCTAAAGATTTGAGGTTCAATAATTTAGCGATTTTGGAAAATTCAAAATCTGTTTTATCAGGTTTTTTAAGTTCAAAATCTTAAATTTTTCAAATAACCGTTACTTTTTCATTAACCAGTTTAGTCAAATTCAATCAATTGAACCAATTTGCACCTCCCATAGATTCCAATAAATTTTCATATTCTCATTGTCACTAAGTAATTGAAATGAACTCATGAGTAAATGACAAAACGGTGAATGTGACGTTATATCCACGAATAACAAGTGTTTTTAAGATATTTTTCTAGATAAGATGGGAATAATATATGCAATGACGAGGTGTATCTTCTCATACTGGAAATGTCTGGCACATACTTATAATAACTGAACAAATGTGGACAATTAATAAATAGTTTCTTCATTAAAAGAAGTAAAGAATTTCTTTTCATTTAATATTGTTTACGTAAATCACGATCAATAGAAATTGATCGGCATCACGACTTTCCCACATGTCCCAAAACTTTAATATTAAGTGAATTATTAATGCAATAATATCGTGCATGGCTAAAAATAGTTTCTCGAGAGATCTCATTACTCAATAATAATAATGACCAGCGTCAGTTATATCCAGTTTGGTATCAATGCAATAAAATAAATTGTTCATATCCAAAATTGGGCCATTTAATACATTCGAAGGCAATTGTTCATAAACAATCATTGAACTAGAACAATATCTTCTATATCTGCTTAATTTCGGACAAAAAGTAATTTACAGATATAAAGTTATAATCTAATTAACCAACAAAAAAGCTAGATATGCTTGGATTGTGAAATAATCATCTTTGTTGCTGAACTTTCTATTTCAAAAATCACAATGAAAATTTTCGATTGTCTGCATCTTGCGCCTTTTGTAGCTAAGTCTGTATTATTCTAGTTTTATTTGATAATAGAATTAAGATGATATCTATGGAATTGTTATTGAATTTGGTCTAGTTTGTGGATGTAACATGAAAATGACTTGATATTTTGAAAATAGAATCAAGCACAGAAATTCTAAATTAATTTTCAAATATTGGGGTGATGTCAAGGCACAATGAATTGCACATTCTCCAATTAATTCTAATAATAAATCAGTGACATCCAATCAATTGATTAAATACATAACAATTACTAAGAATATACAGTCAATTAAACACTTCAGACTGATAAGATATAAGAGATCAAAAATTTCTGGAAAACTGTCAATCAAGAGTTTTGTTTCGGAAGTAAAAATGAACTGGTTATTTCCAATTTCATATCAATGACTAATGTTTGGATTTTTTTTGGACTTGAAGAGTGCTGAAGGTCGGTGATATCAGAACCTCCGAAAATTGGATTTAACCGAGTCATTAGTAGAACAAAACAAGGCACAGTGCGATAAGATTTGAGGAAAATTCATCGAAAAACAAGTAACGCAATTACTACCCTAAATGTTGATTCTATAATATTACAGGCCTGACTGTTAAAGCTTTAAGTACGATACACTCTAACAATCCCATAATTGCTCCATTTGCATGACTAATTTACATAAATTAGCAAAAGTCACAAAACTATATTGTAACTCTTTGAAGTCTCTATTAATCGATCAATTAGCACTTAGCATCAAGAGCAGAAAAAGTCGTGAGTCAATAATAAAATAATAGAGCCACGAGTCACTCAAATAAGCGATAATTCAGTTCGAGAGTAAATTATAGACTTATTGCCATCAATTTATTGGATGGTTGACTCTTTAGGACTCTAATTATCGTTTTTTGACACAAATAAGTGATTCCGTTTATCGTTTTTATCGGTCCATTTGATAGCAATTTTTTGGTATTGTTTGTTGCTTCTTGAGTTTGAATTAAGAGGTTTTTAAGGGTTGAATATTAAGAAATTAAAACGCCATCAAATTTGAAGCTACAGACTAATTATGAATAAATGGAAATACTCCTCTAGATCAGCATATTCCCAATTGTGTGCTGTAGATATCTTTATCACATACATAAATTTAATCTTTTGATTGACTTGATTCTCAATAGTTCCGTCATCTCAAGAAATTAAGCTTAAAATCTGATCATTTTGTCATCATTTTCGGTTCTTATAAGATCTTATTAATCAATAGAAATGGTTCTAATGGATTCTTTTAGGTTCTCAAACAAGACTTTTTAGCAGAGGTCGAAGCGAACTTGGTTCGCCAAGTTCGCTTCGCTAAAAATTCAACTTGCCAAAGTCGAACTGTAGCGAGAAAAATTTTTTTCTATTCGCCTTAGCGAACCATAGCGAACTCAATTTTATTTTTTTCGCTTTAGCGAACTATTAGCGAACTTAATTTTTCAAAGTTCGCTATAGCGAACTATTGGCGAACTATAATTTTTTGCAATTTTGTATGAAATTACATACTTCACAAACGCAATTAGACATCTCTTAATATGAAGCCAAAAAAATTTTTCTAGTTCGCCAATAGTTCGCTATAGCGAACTTTGAAAAATTAAGTTCGCTAATAGTTCGCTAAAGCGAAAAAAATAAAATTGAGTTCGCTATGGTTCGCTAAGGCGAAAAGAAAAAAAAAATTCTCGCTACAGGTCAACTTTAGCAAGTTGAATTTTTAGCGAAGCGAGCTCGCTAAAAACTCGCTTCGCTATGCTCGCTTCGACCTCTGCTTTTTAGGCTTTAGATGATTTTCAACCAGTCGCAAACTTCCCTCAAAAACTTAACAAACTTTAAAATAATGATAATTTCAACGAGACTACTTTAAAACAAAAAGAAAGGATCTCGAAATACTTAGTTCCAAGTCGTGACTCATGACAATTCAAATTACAGCAACAGCAATAAATTCACAATCAACTTACCGGTGTTTCCGTTTGCAAAATTTAAGGAACGTTCTGAATTGTATCTTGAATATTCCGTTTTTATTTGTTGTATAATGCATTCGCTGCTGTGCCTTTATCTCGGACGAAAGTTCCTTCCAATCGTTTAAGAACCTCCGCTGTTCACAATGAAGCTCACTTTTTGACTAAAATTTTTTAATATTATTTAATTTTAAATCACTTTCTGACAATTTGCAGATTTTTTTTTTTTTGTAAAATAGTTCAAGCGTGTCTCTTGATTTGTAGGTATCAAGTTATAATTTTAAAATTTTTTTTAAGTAGCTTTTAGCTTTTTTTTTCACACAAAAATGAAATTAATATTTTCACTCTATCCTTTTGAAAACTCAAAAATAAACTGATTGCTGGCACTTCCTTCACTATTCAATTTATATACAATTTTTTAAATATATTTTTTTCTTCTTGTGACGATGATAACGATCAGTACGATAAAACGCGAATACTTTTCGTGCATGTCTCTCAGAATATTCCGAACACTTTTGGATATATCCACTTTATATCAACGAACACAAACAGTTGACTTCGCTTATTTTTGTTAGCTTTCATGACGAAAATTAAAGATGTCTTTGGATTCATGAGGAGATGTTATTTGCACAATGTCTTTGTTTTGTATCTTTTTTGGCTGTGCGATGCTTCTCGATGAAACTATACCTGCTTGAGAGATGAGAAAAAAAACTCGGATTAACGTGTTAATTGCTTTGAAGACATCGGATTTACTGACTTTATCCAGATAAACCTAAATCAGTTAATTTTGTGTCAAAAAAAAAATTTGTTAAAATTTTCCATTCATTTGCTGCTATTTTGATGATTTTCAAGATTTAAGACAGGGCTTTTATCTTAACTTTGTTTGATTAAGGTACGTAATTTGTATCATAACTTATCTACGTCAGTCACGCGTTGTCTGGCATTGCAAGTCTGATTTGTTATGTCAGATTCATCCAGAAGTATATAAATTGGGGTTGTTCGTTCGTTACGTAAATTGAAAATTAAGTCCATAACAGTAAGACGTGATTTATGGCAGTATTGAAAATTAGGAGTTACAAAAAAAATATTCTTAACATTCTAACCCTTTCCTTTCGAACCGAATAAGTGTCAGCATGCACATAACTTTTAACAATCTTCGTTCACAAATGTTTGTGTACCTCCTACTGATCGTTTGGCCATCATTTCATCAAACTACTGATCCATTTTTCAAACCCTCAGTCTTGTATAATTATCACCCAATTTGACAAAATTTCGATAGAACCTTAAATTGTCATTCTCTGATCTAGCACGTAAATACCGAAAAACCCTCAAAATTAGGCAAACAAATATTAAAGAGGAACTTTAGACACGATAAGAACATGATAAAAATAGGGTAAATATGTTATTGTTTTCATTCAAGATCCACAGCATGTGCGATGATCATAAAAGTGCTTAATCATGATAAGCATCACTTCCTTGTATCTCAATTTTCATGAACATTATTTTTACTACACAAATTTGTGGAAAATAGAGCATTAAATTAGTCAATGTGAATTTTCTCTACAGCAGCTATTTAACAAACAAAATATAGGAAGTATTCAAGCTGAAAGCACGTGAACATCAATTAATCAAACATCAATTAACAATTTTATGACGTCATGAATATTCATGAACATCACGAGTGCAACGACACTAGATTTGAGAAGAAAATATAAGTGAATTAATCAAGAAATAAACAATGGACGTGATATTCATTCATTAAAAGCTTCCAGGCGTGAAGTTTTATGGCAACAGACACAATTATGTAGCAATAGACATGAATTTTATAGCACTAGACGTTAGTTGATCAGCACACGCTAGGCGGTATACGAGAAAAGAAGAAATTTAAATGCCATCATGTGTACATTAGACTCAAAACTCTGAATACATAAACATGATTCACAATCATATTAACTGTTGATCGATCAATGAATTTCGGTAGCTTATAAATAATATCACACATTATAGACGTTAATTGGTAAAGTTAATAAAACAGCAATATATGAATTGGATGTTCTGAATGGATGCATAAAAACGTGAATGACACCTGTCACTGTACATAATATAAAGCATATATAAGAACATAAAAAAAGATTCTTTTCAGCCTACATTATTCATACGGATGATTTCAAAACGCATTTCCGCTCAGAATGTTACACTTGTTGATTTCAGCTATGGCTATCGCACTTTATGGAACAATTCTTTATGAGTCAGCAGAGTTAAATATGTAATTCTATTCTCTTTAGTTTTTAAATTAAAATAATGTGTGAATGACGAGGAAATCTGCTTCCTTTTGGTCAACAATTTTAATTATATGCTTACATATTTCCATTTTGTTTCATTTGTCCCCTAAAATTATCACGATGGATTCTCTGCTATAAATATATATAAGCAAATAAAACTGCACAATGTCACTTGGATGCTTTCTTTTGTTATGCTTATTCTCAAGGCTGACTGATCGCTGGATGATGATTGTTAAAATTTATTGTTTCATTCACAAAAACAAAAAAGTATGCAAAGGAGATATATAATGAATAATCTTTCAAATACCTCAATAATGAAATTAATGGTACATTTAATTCGTTTGTTTGGAATTATGTCAAGTATAAAGTATAAAGTAACTTACAAGATAGATTTATCATCTTGATTTTACTAATTCAATAGCGCACTGTATTCGACTTGAATGAGAGATTCCCGGTGATTTGATGCACTTTAAATTGAAGGATGAAACTTAACACTGAGCTTTAACTTAATTAAATTCACTTTAGTAATTTAAAATTTGATGAAATTGTAAAAATCAAAATAAACAAAATCGTTCAGTAAAAAACGGTTCAAAATAAGTTCAAAAAGTTTTGAAATCCTAAAATACGTTAAAAGTTTAACTTGATTTTAAATTAATCTAGAACCATCTCGTGATGATTTTTATGATAAGGATAAATTACAGATATTGATTAAAATGATTAATTGCAATAAAGTTTGAGCTCGTTCGACAAAAAAACTGAAAAAATTCAAATGAATAAAATACGTTATTAATCAACTCATCTTTTGTTTACAAATCATCTTAAAAAAATAAAGGTTAATAAAATTAAGAGAGTTCTTTTATAAAACGCTTGTAAAACGCTCAAAATAGCTAAAGTTATTCAATAGAATAGTGTGAGTAGCATTGAGAGAGCAACGGCAATAAGAGAGAATGTTATTTTACTCAGTTGTTTCGGAGCTTTTAAAGTGTTAAGATGTAAATCTGTTTTGTTCCGTGTTTGTTAAAAAAAAATTATTGTCAATTTAATTAAACTTATGAATAAAACAAAGCATAATTAATCATAAGAGTGATATAAAGTGAATAAAGAAGTGCTAAGAGCAAAAACATCAAGAATAAATGGAAATTAATTATAAAAACAAAAAGTAGAAAAAAAGGCACAAAAAAAGAAGTGAAACAGTTCAATAAAGAAGTTGGAAGAAGTGCCTTGAAGTGTGCAAATTATTTTTGCTTTGCTGAATATAAAAAATAAATGAAAAGAAACAATATTTCTTCATTCATATGGATAAACTAAAATTTATTTCGTAAGCTTGATCAGTTTAAAAATCCAGCGAAGAAAAATCAGTAAAGAAAATAACTAAGTACGGACAACGGACAGAGAGAACCAATTCAGAGGTAAGAGTCAAAATATTTCGGCCATAAATTTATCACAAGTCTGGAAAAAAGTGGTTATAAAGTATAATATATTCGCGAAAGGCTCTTTGTGTCTGTTGTTTTGTACTGCTTGCTGTTAATACCTTTATGTGCAGAAAAATGTCTATGACTCTTTTTTTTAATAACCGGTTTTATTTCTGTGTGCGCGCAAATAATAATAAGAAATAAGTAAAACTCTGTGGGGACTTCAACGACTGCAACAGCAATGAGATTTTATAACTTTTTTAATTCATATGTACCACTGGAGCTAGCATAGTTAAGAAGTTGCTTTTTTGCATACCTATCGATTGCCTGCTTACCTCATGAAAGAAAACAGCATCGAGTTGGTTTGAAAGTTATGTTAGCAGTTGTGAGCTGTGTAAACATTTATTTTTTTTTAAATATTTTAAATATGTGTCTCAATAGAGCAAAATTGTACAATAACAATAACGTAATGACTCTACTTTTTAATATACTATTATTTCAAACGACTGACTTCTTATTACTCATTCATATATTCATATTTCCTTATTATCTCAATTTGAATCGAAACAACTTTTCTTGCCTGCCTGCCTGACTCGGTTGTGTCTCATTGCTCTCTTGTCCATTATTAAATGAATTTAATTAAAAAATTGTTAACTCGCCATCTCATTATGGATTCATATTGAATAATGAAAATTTATAATTAATTCTCAAACATCCCAGACAATGACTGCTTTATGAATAAATGTAAGAGTAGCTTAAGCATGTTTATTTAGTCTGAATTTTGGTTCTCTGTGGTCAAACATAAAATTGACAATTAGTGAATCTACTAGAGCGATGTGTGACTCACCATAGACCCCCTAAAATAGCTTGAATATTAATTTACCATAACATCCAAAAACGCACCTAGTGTGACGTTGTAAGAGTTCCCAGTATCACTATCGACATTTTTCGATGAATCATCGATACCTTACATAAGCATAAAATATTGCAAATAGCACGGAGTGAATGAAAAATCATTTTTGACATAATGAACTACTTAAGAAAAAAAATCTATTAAAAATATCTCATAATAAATAATATTGACACAACATCATCTCGTCAAATGGCACATAAATTTTTTTATTTGCTAATAAATATCAACATAAAAGCAACATAACTGCAACTTATAGTAATAAAATATTTAACGTTTTACAGCTTACTGTAAAGTGAGTGGATATCAAAAAATAATAATATTTTTATATAAAAGACAAGGAAAATTTCTCAAAAAACTCCTCATAAAAAATACATAAAATCCAATTGTCTCAAACTGCTTTTTTTTTTTTCCTCTTAAGACAGCACATATTTGTTACAGACAATAGATTGTCCATTTACTACACTAGTTAATTTCTTTTTCATTTTTTCTCACATGATTGGGAAAAATAGAGATTGTAGCAAAAACAACAAAACAAAAATATTCAGCAATACAAAAAACATGTCGAATGACTTCAATCACATTGAGTCACAGCAGAAAAATTTCTACTTTAACGTGCTGAATTTTTCATACTTACTCACATTATTTACACAATTTTATTTGGCAAAAGAAGTACAAATAGAGGAAAGATGTACAGCAATGTGTATTGACTTGAGTTGCTGCTAGGTTCGTTATGAGTCTATAAGCAACAAAGACCCAAATAGAATTAAAACAGTTCATAAATGATATCTATGGAAAATCTAGATATTAAGAATCTCCTTTTATTACATAATTAGCATCCAAAAAATGTCATCAAATGTCAGTCAGCTCCTGAATCACCATTAATATTAGATTTCATTTGTGAACGATATTCCATTAATAAAAAATGATTGCAGACCTCAACCCTTGCGTAAACTTAAAATTTGCAATAAAGCACAGTACAGACAACTTTACATCATTCATTTTAATGGATATCGCTAATACTTGGTAATCGTTCCCCCAAAACAAAATATTGTTTTATAAACAAAGGCAATAAAATTCCAGCGAAAAGCTGAGCAATAACAATCATCGAGATATGTGGTTCGGATTTATCGTCCCCGCAACACAAAATACAACAAGACAAGTGAAAGAAGGCGGTTGTTGTTTATCGATGGGAAAGTTGACGCGCATACAAACGATATTTTTGATTGTATGTATTAATCATCACCAAAACATTTTTTTTGCTGCTTCTTTCTCTCGCGACGTAGCCTTCAAAATGAAAGTTTTACAAAACTTTGGAATGTTGAACATTATTTTATTTTTTTGTGGACATATGATGATTATTACCATGTGTGTGCAAATTGAATTGATTGATCGCACGCATGAATGGAACATGTGAAGCAATTATTTCTTGTTTAGCAGCTCGAGGGGACTTAACGTTAGGAACAAATAGAAAAAATTAGCAACCGTGGAAAATATAGGGAAATACGAAAAAATTAACCGTTTTATCGATCGCGTTTCACTCTACAAGCGATGATAATCGAATTATTAAGTGTCTTTCTGTGTCTTTCATCGTTTCCTCAGCTTAGATGAATAACACTGATCTATATATGCAGCATACAATGTAATTGGAATAGATATGAGATTTTTTTTTTGTATTAAAATAATGGAAAACCGAAATAATCATTTTACTAGGTTAACCCAATTTTTCGTTGTGTATATCATTGAATTGATAGAATGGCCGTGCTGCAATGTAACAAACAACAACAGCAGCAGCCGTATCACATGAGAGTGTAAGAGAGAATGGAAAAATTTATTTTAAGTCGTCTATTGTGTCAATGAAAAGAAGTAGCAGCAGCATTCGATGCTGTAAACTGAGAAATAAAAAAGAATGTGAGATGATGAAGAAGAAGTTTTAGTCACATTGATAGCACATCGAATTTAAAACCACTGACTGCTCTACTCTATGCTGTTCTTCTCCGTTGCAATCCACAGATTTCAATGAGACTATTAATGTAAATTACTGGAATTTCTTGAAGGCACTTAATGCTATGCCTTTATGTACAGCGATCCTACAAACGAATCGCAATCTTGTGCGCGAAAAAAGAGAGATAAAAAAAATTGTCTATAATAATAATGTAAAGTAAAGAAAATGTGGAGCTCTGTTTGAAGTTCAAATTATGTAATTATGCTTTACTACGCTAAATCAGCGGCACATCCGTTCTCTTACATTCTATCCATCCATCCATACCTCTTTCGCTGTACTCCATTCTGCCATTAAAAAAGCACAATAATATGTTTTGATTGATGTGCCCATAATAATGATGCTCTTGCCTTCTCTTCTTCTACTTCGTTTTGGTCACATCTTGCCCAACAATTAATTTTCTTCTTTTTATCTTCTACTTCTTTGCATTTACAATATGTTTTGTGTGTCGAATTGCGTCAATGCTTTTACTTCGGTTCTTTCTTCTTTCTACTTTTGTATTGTTGCTACTTCTTTGTTGATTAAATGATATTTTAGGTTTTTCTTATTTAATATTAAAATGAAATTAATGTGAGTTATATCATAATGTTGTATAAAATTGGAACTTAGAGTTGGAAAAAGTGTCAATGGACGTCAAGTGTCAATGCAAACTTTATTAATGGATAACTTAAAAATAGCAGCTTTTTGGTGACGAATATGCTTATCTGAATTTATTTGACATATCTTATGGAGGTCATTAACAAATCAGGGGTTTATAGATAGGATTTTTTGAACAGGAGATACGAGTCTCAATCTCAAATTCTCTTATTATAATGATCTTGGGTATAAAACGCAAAACTACGAGTTAAAAATAATTTAGAACTAGAATGGAACTGATAATTAAACATTAGCTTCAAACTTACCTCTCAAATGAATATTGGAAGTCTTTTTGTCTTCGATTATTGCTAGATTTTGGATTTTTTGAAGAAACACATTAATACCTCGTTAGCACATTTAGAAAGTTTGGCCTTGTCTGGATATAAAATATAAATTTATTTATAAACAGATGTGTCATAAAATTAAGACAATATTTGCCAATTTTTTCCAGCCAAATTCATCAATTGGCACACTCAAGCTAAATCTATACCTTAATGATCTATAGAAGTGACTTTTTAAAAAAAAAATTCAGTCATAAAAAGTCAAAACGGATGAAGTAAACAAAGATTGAGAAATGAAATGACATGAGAAAAAATTAGCGACACTTTTAATTGATTGATGACAAATTGACAGTAATTGCTTCTTTCTCTTGCAGTTCGTTATTCAATCATCCTGTAGTAATACATAGCATGAATTTATTACATGTCTGGAAATGTAATGAAAAATGCATGAAATTTCTATTTCTTGATGTTAATTTCATTAAAAATTCCCCCTTTTTCTCCGTGAAATGCCTGTGTATAATTTTTTTTATGGACTATATGAGTATTATTCTTTATTTTATCTACTCTTCCATGCTTCATGATCGCGTCTTGCCTCTCTTTTGCTTCAAAATTCATTTATTTTATTTTCTACAGCGCTATTCGCTTGTTACGTCTTTCAAATGGCAGAAGTATTTTAAAAAGCAAAAGAATTTTATGCTTTAAAAGATTTAGGAAATTCCAAGTTTAATCAACGTCATTTGTGAACCAACCCCACTACCGTAACGTACGAGAATTTTATTTTAAAAAGTAAAAGGTCAAAAATAGTTAACACAATAATTTTAAATATTATGCTGATCAGCAACCTGGAAACACTGACTGCTTTTGTAAGTCTGCTTTGAAAGTAAACTTTTTAGTCCAAATATCCGATTCCATTCCATCATTAAAATCGTACAATTTTTCGCACAAAGATTCTCACTACTGATGAATTCTTTGTCTTTTTTTTGTTGTTTCTAAATGTCGATGACCGAGAGTGTGAAAAAAAATCTCATTTCCACTGATTGATTTTAATCGTAATGAAGATACACAGGAGGAGTGCCAATGAGTTGTATTATTTTTATTGCAATGTTTTTCAACCTTATTTTGTAAAGTTTATTGGGTAATGGATGGTCAAATTAACAGCACATTTGCA